GCCTGTGGTTTTCTCTTTCAACTCTCTTCAATCACACCACTTGTAGTTCATGTTAAAATGAGAGGAGTTCATATCTAGCTCATCCTCACTATAAATGTCCCAAGCACATGCATCCTTCTTATTCACTGGTATGAAGTTGAATGGCTAGCATTATGCCAGGTGGTCAGTAAATATTTGTGAAGCTGACTGGACAGACATGCTGGCATATCTCCTTGGCCAGGAATCTAACGTCCTATTTATTTCTCAAGTTTTTTTTTTTTTTTTAATAAGTTGAGTGTTGACTGCACTAATCCTAAACTCTGGCGTGATGGGGGTCTAATGGCACATCCATTGCCAGTCTTCCTTCCCTTCCTCCAGCAAATCTAAGTCCTTGTTAGCTCCAAAATCCCAAGATTTTAGAATATAATACAGTTCTATTAGTAATGCTGGCAGGGTCAGGTAATGGCACATGATAGTTTGTTTAAAAGATACAAAACTATGTTAAAATACACAGTGCTTGGTTTTATTTGCTTAGCAGTACACCCAGAGTTATAGGATAATGGGGCATGTTTAAGAGTTTTAGAGATCTAGTGAGGTGGTACTGCAACTGTGAGCATTTTTTGTAAAATGGATCCAAGTGGAGGCAGAGCATGCAGGCTAGGTGGGCTTCTTGGGCTTAGTCCTAGAGTGTAATTGATGGTCAAGTGACAGGGGGTGGCATTTCAGGAGCGAAGCTGCTATGAGAGGGAAGAGCGAGAGAACGTGGCACATAGACCTTGGTGGCTGAGGCTCAGGGCATGCTCAGAGGAATGGCTGAGATCAGGGTGGCCAGAGGTAAGCTGTAGTGAGACAATTAAGGAACTCTGGAGGTCAGGTTTTATTCCAACGGGGGGATGGAAACATTTGGGAGCTTTGACCAAGAGAAAGGATGGTCAAAAATGTCAGTCACTTTTCAGAAAGTTCATGGGGGGGTGCAGTATAAGGAAAGAGTGTAGAAGGGCGAATGTTGTAGAAATATTATGTACTCATGTATGAAAATGGAAAAATGAAACCTGCTAAAGCTATTACAAGGAAACGGGAGGGGCATAAAGGAGAATGATGGAGGGAGTAAGATACATTGTAAGCACTTTTGTAAATGTCACAGTGTACACCCAGCACAATAAAATTATGATTTTTAAAAAAAAAGAAACTGAAATAAAAGTGTCGCTGATTAAAAAATAGTTTACTTTGAGAAGAAAGTAGCAAATGGATTAAAACTGGAGGCATGAAATTGATTCTTTTCTTTTTTGCTCCTCCACCTATCCTTCTATCCATCCTTCCATCTTCCCACCTATCCACCCAGCAAACAAACACTATTGAATGCCTGGTTCTAAGAGCAAGTTCTCTAATCAGATAAGCCTGTGGTTTAAATCCTGCCATACCTCACCCATCAATGTGCTTTTGGGCAAATTACCCAATCTGTCAATTCAAATTTATCACTTAAAAGAAATGATATCTTATTAATATTATAATATCTTATTAAAAACTTCATAGGTAGGTTGGGAGTATTACATTTAATAATACTTAACAAATGCTTGAAGCTGTGCCAGGAGTACATGAACACTCAATAAAGTTTATCTTTGATCAGTATTTACAGGCTGGAGACACCTATTTGAGAACTGCTAAAGCCAGGTGTGATCACCCCTCACAAGAATGGGGTTTAATTTAGTAGATGTTTCCTGAGCACAAACTACCTACAGAGTACCACACAGGACTGCAGGAGGCTCTTACAGGACTTCACTTTAGCACCAGGCACAGGGTACTAAATGCTTTAGTTGGTTCAGTGGTAGAGATTTAGAAAAGCTTTTTGAGATTCGAGATGGGTCTCAACGAGCTCCATTGAGCTCCAGTAGATAGAAATGGAGGGAAAGGGTGCTTCAGCCTCAAGAGGTGAATTGTATGAAGTTTAGAGGCAGAAGAATGAGCGTGTGTATTTCAAGATCAAGAAAGAAATACAGAGGTAGAAACCCGTCCCTCCCTCCCATCGCAACCCCCTCTTTTTTGCTTTTTTTTTTTTTTCCGGTGCTGGGGACCGAACTCAGGGCCTTACACTTGCCAGGCAAGCGCTCTTCCACTGAGCTAAATCCCCAACCCCAACCCCCTCTTTTTTGATACAATCTTACTGTGTGGCCCAGCCTCCTGCCTCGGCCTCCTGAGTCCTGCGATTATGGGATTACAGGTGTGTACCACCCACCAAAAGGTTCCAAAGAAAGTCTTTAAGAAAATATACAGGAAAAACCTAAAATATAGATGTGTGATTTATTTTTTAGTAGAGAACGTTATGCTCCATTCTGAAGATTTTGGAGTTTTGTATAGGTGCTAGGGAGAGCAGAGAGAATCACCTAATAAGGCCCCACTTTTTTGTTCTTTTCTTGACCGTACTGGAGTTTGAACTTGGAGCCTTGCACTTGCTAGGCAGGCACTTTACCACTTGAGCCATGCCTCTAGCCCAAGGTCCTGCCTTTTAATGCTGTTCAACATGAGTTTTGCAGAAAACATCCAAACTGTAGGAAAGGCTATTGGAAGATTCCAGGAAAAAGGCCTTAAGAGCCTCAGCAATGTCCGTCCTATTCGAAGAAAGGAAGGATGGGATGAGGAGGCTTATGGAAATAGAACTGTCAGACTTGGTGACTCATTTTTTGTGGGGCGGATGGAAGAGATGGGCTTATAGACTCAGACTGTGAAGTGATACAGCAGTAGTGGGAGGAAAGATGGCCAGCTGTTTTGAATCCTAGGAGTCTCACCCAGTGGTGGGATCAAAGTCAGAGAAAGCAGGAGTTGGCCAGAGAGCTAAAGGAGGTCTTTTGGTAAGGGACTAAATTTCAGGCTGAGTCGCTAGAGAGGAGTCAGTGACAGAGACAGAAAGAGGAGTAGGAAGGAGGGAGTGCGAATCATCTGGAGAAAGAGGTGGTGTCATGTGTTGAAGGCAGAGTTTTAGGCATACATACCCTATAGGGTCAGCTGAATGGGGCCACTATGCGATGTAGGAGTCTCATAGACATTTTGGTCGTTTAGCAAGACATTCATGTTGCTTGGGTAGTCAGTCAATTTCTTACACTTTAGGTGTCTTTTACTCACTTCCAGGCAGAATCCTTTGACAGCCAGCTCTCAGCAGGTTTGGAGCAGGAAGAAGGGACCTCCTTTCCATTCAGGGTCTGGAATTATCGTGTGTGAAGATGGCCCTTATTTAAGGAAAAAAATGAAGGGACGTAGGCTCTTTGTGTCTGAGATAGACATGTGCTTGGTTTTGTGTTCTCTAGTTCTTTTTTGAGCAAATTAGTTGAGTTTAGGGGTGAAGTTTCTGGCTGTTTTTCTAGGAATGTAATCTCAGAAACCAGTTTAGACCCTGGATATTTGGTTGTGGGTTGGAATTGGCCCAAGAAAAAGGAGGATTCCCCTAGAGAGGTGAGCACCTGAGTCTGCCTCAGGAGCAACCCCCTCCCCCAATCCCCCCATGAGGTTTTCCCAGAAGGCTGGGGGATCTGCTTGCTACTGGTCCTATGGCTTGGCTTCTTCCACTGAAGCAAAGGAACAAAACTTCCTTTCCCTGGTGTTTGTAGTACTGAAAGAGTTTAGGGAATCAGAGGACAAGGGATGCTGCATTTAGTGGGGGAACTTGAGGGGTCCTCTTTTGAGAGAGGCATTTTGGGCTTCCCCAAATCACAGTTATTACTGGTATTACAAGTGAGATTTTAAAAAGCACATTTTGTTTTAGGATGAGCCAAAATCTTGGTCCCTCTTTTTTTGTGTCCTCTGGCCACATTTGTCTTCCTTTTCTCTGGTCTTCTTTTATTCCCTTTTCTCCATCATTTTCTTCCACAAAGTTCAGTACTGTCCACCTGCCCTCCTCCCCACACTTGCTGGCTTGGGCTCATAGACTTTGTTCCTATTCTGTCTGCTGAGGATACACAGGTGGCAGGTTTTACCAAAGGGGCATGGTTTTCATCACAGTTGTGTCCGATGGGACATCAAAGACTGTGTTGGATCTTCATATACCTGTCATTATCCTCCACCCTGGGATGTTCTGGGAGTCCACCCCTACCTTCTGACTATACAGTAGGAAAGCGAGATGCTTGACTTTTTATGTCTCCCCCTACCACTACCACCTTGTGACTCTTTGGCTTTCCAGTCTCACATTTCTTTTCCTTTCTATTTTCCCTGTGTCCATCTCTTTTCTGTATTCTCTCAAACAAAGCCAACACCTATGGAAACTTAACCACATTCGATTTCCTTTCTTTCCTTCATCTCTTCTACTTCACTGAAAACATAAGCTAAGTATCAAATAGTAACTGTGTAATTGGTTTTAGTACTGTGTGAAATTAAGGCACTTGCTGGAAAATAATTTGGTGTCGGGGATATGGTGCTAACCTTTACGTCAGCAGACAAAGCCAGAACCAGCCTGTCTCACAAGCAAATAGTGAGTCATAGCATAATACCCAAGTTTTGTCTAGAACCTTACTTAACTTCTCTCTGCCAGGCAGTGGTCTTCATTTTTAAATTTAGGGATTATGGTACTTCCCATTACTACTTGGTGGAATGTTTTAAGATCCCAGTGAAATTGTGTGTGCTTTGAAAAGTAGGATTGTTGCTGTTACTTTTCTTTACAACAGTATCCAACAAGATGTATAAAATGAATTAAAAAGATTGGGTGATCTCCAATGAGTCTTTTAGGTCTTAAATTTTGTTTTTTCTAGACGGTTTTTGGCATATAATAGAGGCTCACACAGTTATCAGATGGATGGACAGATGGATGGTTGGACATCTAAATGTTTAATCTAAATACTTACCTGCCCCTTCCTATTCCTGTTTCCATTTTCATGTCGACAACACTGCCCTCTCCTGGCCAATAGTGGTATAAAAGTGCAGTAAGTCTGTAGCTGGGACCCTGGCTCCTTTGCACCAGTCTTTGGCCAGCAATCACTGACAGTCTGCCTCTCCGTGTCCCTTTCCACCCCACTCCCTCTCTCCATCTGCCCCTGCAGCACTGCCAGTAACTCCAATCGCAGCACACCAGCCTGTTCCCCCATCCTCCGGAAGCGGTCTCGCTCACCAACCCCTCAGAACCAGGACGGAGACACCATGGTGGAGAAGGGCTCAGATCACTCCTCGGACAAGTCTCCGTCCACCCCGGAGCAGGGCGTGCAGCGTAGCTGCTCCTCACAGTCTGGCCGGAGTGGTGGCAAAAATTCCAAGGTGAGTTGGGCCCAGCGGGAGACTTTGTACCTCCTTGTTAGCTGGTGGCAGGGAAACTGGTACCGGGGTTCAGGGAGGTAAACAACACTCTCCTCCCACCCCCGTGATGTCACACAGATAGTCTTTGGGCCAAGAGGCTAGGGCAGGGCAGACAAGAGAGACCCCAGTCAAATGGCTTAGCTAAGCACTTTGAGAGGGAGCTGAGCTGTAAGTTGGTTCTCACTTATGCCTGTCTGCCTGTCCTTTGATCTGGAGGAGAGATGTTCTGGGGAGCAGGAGGGATCATCTGTTTAACCCTTTTTCAGATTTGATACGTGGAACTATGGGAGAAGGGCAAAGTATTTGGGGCAACTGTATTGCCTGGGAGGGAGTCTTCAGGGAACCTCCTAGAATGCTATTTTTAGCCTCCTTCCTGGCCACCATCCTGCCAGTACCTCTGCACAGACCTACTCCATGCCCTCCCAAGCACCCCGGCCCTTGGCCTAAGGATATGCACAGAGGCACCGGGCTGGTTATGGTTCCTAGAGTTCTCCTCCTGCCCTCAAGTCCTCTGAGAAGTAGGAGGCAGCAATGCCAGGTGCTCCTTCAAGAAGCTTCTCTCATCCCTGACTCGCAGTGCCTAGCAAGGGGCTGGGGACCCCAGGGAGGCTTGGGAGCTGGTTTCCCACCTGAATTTGTTTTTTGATCTCTTGTTCTTCCTCTTCTTCCCCACCATTTCCCAAATACCTTCTTTGCATGCATGGTCTTAGTCTCACAAGCGCCTCTCAAAAGTAAGCCATCTTTTGTCTCTGTCTTTTTATCTCCCCTCTAATGTTAAATTGTCTGTAGTGCTCAGCATCCCTGCCCTCTGCCTCTGCCAATTCTGCCCATATGTCCTGCTTGGTCCCTTTCCCAGAAGGGCTGCCCCCTCCTCCCCCCTTGGCAGACTGGCTTGGAAGTTACTTAGAGACCATTCCTGCTGCACTTGATGTCCGAGGATAGACCCCACCTTCCTCTCCCATGTCTGCCTGCTCCCGAAACACCGCCTCTGGTGGGAATTTATTCCCTCCTTACATGGTGCCTTCTAGAAGCAGAGACTGGTAGGGGTAGTTTTATTCCTTTGGGCATAGGAAGCCCTGTGTGGTTATATTGCAGATTCCTATGCTGCTTGGTGGATGATTTCAGCTTCCCTAGCAGGAATGATTGGAGACGGGCAGGAAGCATGTGCTGATGGAGACTCAGGAACTCAGGTTGTTGAGTTCCATGGTAACTAGTAGTGATCTCACAAGATCTGCCTAACACCATCGTTCCTCCATCCCAAGAGCTGCTCACCTGGGTAACCCTGATTGCTTCTACCCACCCACCAGTCCTGGTTCATGGTGCTCTTAAGATCCTGGATTTTGATCAAAGAGAGTGTGGTATCGATTCATGGAGGTTGGTGAGTGTTGACAGTAGTCCTTCCAAGCCCTGGAGAGACAAGAGAAGGCCAGGGAGAGAGTACCAGAATCATCTGGGACTCCAGGACCTCTGAGGTCTGAGGGAAACTTGGAGAAAGGGGGGACAATATTGTTGAGCAGTGGGGCTCAGGAAACCTTCCGATGGGGAAGGGCTGCATCTGGAAGAAGAGGAAGCCAAGGGATAATTCTTAACAGCCCAAGTCTCTGTAAGTGTCTGTGGGGAGCAGGGCAAGACATTGTTCATTCCTGAGGGAAGAATGAGAGGCTACATGGCTAAGCCTGCAGGCTGTGACCTTCAGACTAAAAGCTCATCGTGATTATGTAGCCGCCTGTGGATAGGGAGGAGCAGCAGTGGCTCAGAGTGAGGAACCCCCAGGAGTCCTGTGTGGGCTCAGCAAGCACAAATATGTCTGATGTCTAGGGATGGGGTTCTGACCTGTGTCAGTCCCTCCTGAGTGCCCACACCCTCGCCTTGGTTGGTGTGGGTACTCAAGGTGCTCCGGGCCTAGTTGGGGAGAGGGCGGATCTGACTGGATGTGGGTATTAGATTATTCCTTCTCTCTGCTTCTGCACAGAGTCTTCACACACTTTTAAACAATCCTGGGTGAAGTTCTAAGCCCTTTCTTTTATGCCTAGCTAGGGGCTGTGTGAGTAGGTCAATACTTACTGATGGTCAGTGGGCAGCACTCAGGGTGCATGCCTTGGTCAGGTGACGGGTTGAAGTAGTGAGTACCCAGTAATAAAGATTGATTTTATATCTTTAAAATGGTAGGTCTTTTGGGGAAACCAGGTCTCCTGATGTACAGTCTAGGCGGTATGGATGGTGTAGTCTAGGAGATGTAGATTATATAATCTAGGAGGTGTAGACAGTATGGTCTAGGAAGTATAGAAGGTGGATTCTAGGAGGTTTAGACATTTTAGAGTCTAGGGTGGAGACTAGAGTCTAGGGAGTGTACACAGAGTGGTGAAGTAGGTACAGCCATGCTGCCAGATTATCTACAGATGAAGCCTGATGTGGTACCACATGAGTAGTTGAGGATGTTATGTGAATGTACAGGAGAAATCATTCATGGGTAGGGGGTGGCTAGAGCACATCTCAGGGATATGTGGGATTCAGATTGGGATTCAGGAGAAGTCTTATGAAGGGACCAAGAGAAGACTAAACTGAGAGCTGATCTCTGCTCCCTTCCTAAGCAGTTGAAGTGTGACTGGGTGATTAGATTTTTTTTTCCTTTGAGAAGAGGGGTTTGGGTAGAGCCACCTTCAGTAGATACACTCTTTGAGTTCCCTGTCTCTGAATACCCATTTCCCACCCTGTTCTCTTGCCACTCATGACCATCGCCCCATCTCCATCATCCTCCGAATGTAGTAAAATGGGAGGCTTGGGAAGCTAGGTGCTGTCCTGTCACAGCTGTGGTCAGTCTGGGGCATATGTGTGCAGGACACACAGACTGCAGAAGAGGAGCCAGAGAAGAGGGAGAGTCTATGCAAACCAGGGCATAGGACTGTGAGGATGGTCTAACCTATGGTTATCCTCTCAGGTTAACCAAATATATCCATGGCAAGGGATCCAGGGTCAGAGCTGTTGCCCCTATGATCATAGCTGGGCCACCTCACTCCCTGTCTCCTGTCCACCTCCTAGAGGAGAACACCCCTTGTGTTTTTTCAGTCAAGTTTGAAAATGCCTCCTTTTCTCTCTGGAGTGAAACCCAATGTACACTCTCTCTTCCCTTCTCTGGCTTCCTTTTTTTTTTGTTGTTACACTTAAGGTAAGAGTAGGCAATTCCTAAGGCCCTACTTCTTGATGTTTAACCACACCCTAACTATTGAGGATGCTCCTTGCTTCTGCCTAGAGCAGTGGGCTAGAGGACCACAGAGCTAACTTCTACTCACTCCCAGGAGCGCCTGTCTTTGCCATACCATCATGCTCTCACTCAGTGGTGATGGGCTGTGTCCACCAGGGGGAGCTAAAGTCTGATTTCCTGCTCCCAATGGTTCTGGAATGCATACCTGCCCTAAGCAGATGAGGCAGATACATCCTTGGCTTCCACCCTTCAGTCCACCTTTCTCTCTGAGGGTGCTTGGGATCACCCTGGTGCTGTGACACTAGTGCTCCTATAAACTTTCTCCTTTTTTTTTTTGGTTCAATGCTAATTTTTGTGGTTTTCTTTTCAGTATGACAGACTTAATCTGATCAAAGTAAGACATTGATTCCACCCCCCCAACTCCTACTAAATGTAGAGTTTCTAGTTCCCATTCTCCCCTCACCCCTCCTCCATCCTCACCTTCCAGACTGCTTTTGGATGTGGGGACAGGAAACTGCCTTCAAGATGACTTGGGTCTGTTTCCAGGGACCTCACATTCCTTCTGGTCCTTGCTCTTCAGCCCCTTCTAGGAAGGGTGGTAGAAACTGGAAATGACCTCTGCTCAATTCAGTCTTCCATAGCTGTGTCTTTGTTCCCATTCCCCCACCCCTTGTCTTTAGTCAAATCCATTAATAAGCTCTCAGAACCCTTACTCTAACTCCGTAGGTTCTGTTCCTTCTCTCTCCCTGTCACTCTTCTGCCGATCCATGCCCCCAACACTATCCCAGGCCTATAGTCTCTCTGACTTTTTGTCAGGTAGCCCCTTCAGGACTCAGCTCAGGAATGCAGAGCCATCAGGCTATAATTCACCTCAAAGTGCTTGATTAAGGTTCAAGGACTCCTGGCCATGGTGGGCAGTCTTGGTGGGGGAGGTCAGTGTGAATTTTACTAGCGGTATGGGTGCTTATTTGTTCTAGAGGCACCCTCAGTGGGGGCTTATAAGAAGCTGCTCAGAGCTAGCTGTTTAGGGGCAGATGTCTACTCTAGATAGTGCATTTTGCATTTTTTTAAGGATATGTTTATATTAACCCACTATTTACAAAATAGACACAGAGGTATCAGAGAGCTCATCCCACAACAAAGGAAGAAGTGCTAGGGTGTGGGCAATAGAGGTTTTTCTCACCTGTGAAGCAGATGTCTGATGTCCTGGTTTGGGTTTAATGAAGTAGGAGGAAGCGGTGGGACAGGTGAGGCAGTAGCTCCCAGAGAGCACTTTTCTACCACTGGGAAGGGTTTTAATGGACACTTTCACAGCCTCATGCCCTGTCACCTCAGAGTCAGGGTAAGACATCCAGAGGTGCAGATCCAGTTACATGCTACCTGCATATTGCCTCATCCACCCTCTTCCAGACATGGAGGTGCTCCTGACATATATGCCAGCCTTAGAGGAGGTGCTCAGAATTACCAGATCCAGGATTCCTATGTGGCCACACTCCCTCCATGAGGAAATACTTGGTCTTGAATAAGTGGACTTTTACCTGCTAAGACCTCTGGCTTGGAGGAAGGGGTGACACTCTGGTTGGAGAATGTGACTTCCAAATTAGACCACAGTGATAGCTTTTTTTGGGGAGAATTCCCATGGAGAACCCTTGCAGAGTAGGGTTCAGCGGCAGCCAAGCCGTCTGCTGCCACGGCCACAATCTGGCCAGAGAGGTCAAGGTGAAAGTGAAATTGCTCAGAGGCAGTACAGTTATACCTAACTTCCCTCAGCTGTCAGCTTCTGGCCTCTCTGATGACTCATGTAACCTTCAAAGCAATGAACCAGGTGACTGCAAAGTTCCTCTGGTAGAAAGAAAGAGCCAAGTGAGGGGAGATAAAATCCCATGACCGTCTAGTCACTACCGTGGTCATAGGTACCCATACTGGTCCACAGTTATCTCCACCCTGCCAGACAGATGCACAACACACATGCTGAGATGATTCTGCCCTTAGGAGTTGGCCTCTTCACACCAGGTGGAGGGGATAAAGGTTGCTGATTGTGCACAGGATCCACACCTGCTATGGTTGAGGTGGTTGGAATGCAGGTGGAGTTTCTATTGTTCAAGTGGAATGTACATAGAGGACTTCTGTCAGTAGAGGTTAGAGACAGATAAAGCACAATCTAGCCATCCTCTTATTCCCTACGAACTTCTCAGATCCCATTCTTCTGGGGAGAATGGGAGTGGAGAACTTCCCAGTTCTGGAGCTGGGGTGGAGTACGGTTTTGATGATACTGAATTATGACCCCGTGGGGTTAGAAAGGACCTTTAGAAATGAACATGCCTCGACCTCTCCCCAATGCAGAATCCCAACCATTGTTGTGCTCAGATCAGCCAGTTGTTGGGACAGAACAAGGAATTTACTCACTTGCTATCTCAGAGCACTGTTGGAGAGCAGTCCCTTTACTTCCCTGCCTTCTATAGGGGCTCACTTGGAGTAGAAGGCTGGGTTGGTCTGCTTCTGTACTTGGCTTCTGATCAGAGCCCATTTGGGGACTGGGTCTTGGATGCCTAATGCGCATCCTGCACGCCCATCAGTGAAACTTCTTGATGGGGCTCTGACTCCCTTCCAGTTGAGCGCTAGCTGGTGCTGCTGCTGCCTGCCTCCCCAACTGTTCTAACCGTGGTGGGGCTTCCAGCATGGACTGCTCCCTGGGCCCCCTTTCTGGAGCTGTGTTGAGAAAAGAGGGACCCTCCTGGGCAGCAACATGGGAAGCATTCAGCTGCATTTGGATTCCTCCTCCCTGCCCACCCTCTGCTGTCTGTGTCACCTTTCCTCTGGAGCCAGGAACACTCAGGCCACACCCAGAATATTCTCTAATTTCATCTTCTCTTTCATTTTGTCTTTTCAGAAAAGCCAGAGTTGGTACAATGTAAGTATTCCTGTTTCTCTTGTTGTTGGGTACATGTGAAGAGGGTGGGGGAATGGAGGTGGGCAGGGGGAGGGAGAGGTGTGGAGTGCAATTTGGCTCCCCCATGAGCTTTTCCTCTTAGTAACCTCCTCTGTTCCCACACCAGATACAGCAATTGTCCTGTGTAGTAGGATAGGACAGCTCTGGTGAGGGAAGATGTGATCCAGGAAGAACATGGTCCACTCCATCCCCTACCTCACCTAAAGTACTAGAAAGGTCCTTCTTTCTCTAAAGAGGAGAGCAGTCAGGAAGGATGGGCCATTTCAAGGCCAGACAGAATACTGGGACTAGGATAGCCTTGGGGTGTGAACTTAGGGCCAGAGTTTCTACCTGTTAACCAAGAAATCTTGGGGGTGGGGTGTGTAGCTGAAAGACTTTCCTGCATTAGTTGAGAGGTTGTCCACATGTAATGGGGTTTGACTTCTGCCCCAGGAATCTTCTCAGTAACACCCAAAGTACACTCCTTCTAGAAGACATCCACTGCCCCTGGGTCAATCATGGTGGCACTTCTCTACTGCTCCATACCCAGAAAGAGGCTGTAGAGTAAGCAGTCCCTGCAAAGGCCACATTCCCTTGATCACATAGCCTGGATTGTGGAACTCTGAACTCTTCCCCTGAAGTCTCTCAGCTGGCCCCAGCTGGGTGTGCTCTGTGCTCTGGGACTGCCCAGTGTGTTGTGTGGGCTGGCGATTAGCACTATGGCCTGACTTCAGACCCTATTGTCCTATCTCTGAGCCTACATCTTCACTCATGACTGATCACAGGAATTCCATCTTTCCCCTTCCTCTTATACCAGGTTCTGCTCCAGCAGGAGGCCTGGACATGGAGAAGCTGTTGGGAAGGTGGCTGTGAATGACAAGAGTTGGAAGGAGGAGGGGGAAGGGTTAGGGTTAGGGAAGGGCTTGCATTTGATGTGGAACTGTGGGTCCACATCACCCTTGTGGACAGTATGTGCAAGCACTTGTTTGGTATATGCCCACAGCCTTTGGCTTCCCACAAACTACTGCTTGGTGCCTGCCCATTCTGTGTGCTCTTGATTAATCTGCCAGCCTTAGCCCTACCCATCACCCTACATGCTGATAGGAGGGAGTTGAGGGTTAAGATGTCCTGGGATGGGAAAGAAACTGGACTTTGCCCCCTCATGCCTGCTTCTTCCCCTTGATGTACAGGGGAGTCCCCTGGCTTCTGGCCTTCCCTGGCTGCTCAGAGTTCACATCCTGGAGCAGGGAGAAGCTCTGGTCTGTGGGGGAGAGGAAGAAGAAGGAGGGCTGTCCTTGGCAGTTATCCCTGGCCTGGCTGTTTCAAGATCTCCAGCATCCTTTACCTAATAATTCCTTTTTGAGTGGCATTGCCCGAATTAGTGCCTCCTCCCCAAAGAGGAACAGGAAGCACACGACAACAGCCCTAGACAACAGCTCTATTAGACAATGAAAACCTTTGAATTTGGACATGCTAGTCCTCATTGCTGATCATCTTCTTCCTCTTATCTTTCCATTTCCCTCTTTTTGTTGCTTTTTAGCTCAGTCATTTCTGCTTTGTCTTACTTTTCCCTACCATGTATTTTTCTCCATCCTTTACTCTCTGACCTCTCTCTTTATTTTTTTTCTCTCTTCCCTCTCTGTTTTATTCTCCATTCTTTCTGCTGGCTTGCTTTTCTTGCTGATTCCTCCACCCCTTTCACCTCCACATCCTCCCTCAGCCCTACACAGAAGATCTGGCATCTAAATACTCATCCCAGTGACAGACTGGGAGGAAGGGGATGGACCAGCTGTACCCAGCAAACCCAGAAGTCAAAGGTTCCCATAACTCTACAGGAACCAAGCATGGTGGAGCACTGGTTCCTCTCCAGTTCCACTTCCAGTCAGAGAGGCGATGCAGCAGAACCTCATTGGTTCTTCAAATCATCATCCAGGAAAACTGCCTCTGCCTTTCTCAGCCAGCTAATTGGCTCCTGCTGTCTGTCCTACATGACTCAGTGCTGCCCTCTTCCTGGTCCTGTTAAACATCTACTGTAGCATTCTTGGTGCAGGAAGCAGAAAGGAATGAACATGGAGAAGGGAAATAGGAATGGCAGATGGATGTAGGAAGACGCAGAAGCTGAGAGGCAACAAGGGGCCTCCAACTGCCCAAGCTGCAAGTGCCAGGAGGCATACTTAGAGCTTGCACAGTTGCTTACCTCTTGTTTTGTTTTCTTTCTGTTTTTCCTTCATGTGTTTCCATTATGAGAGATAGCACTTGTGGAGGATTACTGATTAGTAACGTCCACAGTGGAGAGGTTAGTGAAAACTAGTACCAAAAATAGGCTTGGGAGGCAGGTTAGAACCCTGCTATCTACCTGGGGCCAAGATGGGCACCCCAACTCAGTTTTCCATGGCCAGGTATCTGTGGAGTTAGCAGGATGGTGTATCCAACACCACAGAAGTCCACTCTGTAGACCTACTTAGATAGTGCCAGCACATTTACAGCTGGATACTGGCCCAAGCATGGAGGACTTCTAGGCACAATTTCATTGGGTGAAACAGGGAAGCTATGGCCTGGTGGATATAGGCTCTATCCAGTGGACAGAGGCTTATGGCACTACTGTTCCAACGCCCTGGCTCTAGAGCAGCTGGGTACCTTTCTCTTTCAGGGTACCGCACATGGGTTACGCTTTTATGTTTTGACACATCATCAAGGTGGACTTTGGATGAATACCCTTACTCTCTCGCACCATTCCCCAAGTTCACTGTGTTCCACTGGGAGGCCTCTGCCTTACCCCTGTGGCTTTGACCTGTGTTGGCTGGAAGAATCCTATCTCCCCTTCTGACAGTGCTCTTTCTAATCTCTCCTGATACCTGTGTCAGCTCTCCAGCTATTCTGATGCCTTAGGCTCCATCATGGCATGGGACATCCTTCAGATAGGTAGAGCCTTTGTAATCCAGTTAGATCTCTTGCAGAGTGCTGACCATTGCAAGAGAATCTGAGGCCTATTTGAGTGGCCTGTGTCTGATGTGAGAGGAAGCCTACGCACCTCCTTCCTGCTCAACCCAGCCTTCCATCTCTCCTGTAACCTGCCTGTAGAAGACAAGCAGTTCACTATGGTCAGCCATGGAGGAGCTGTCAGCATATCAACAGACATCTTTGATCTAAAGAGTGGGCCACACGAAGGGAAATGGTTGGACCCAAGGGACACATGGAGAGGCTGGAGAGGGAAAGCATGAGGTCAAGGTTGGGGTTGAAAGACCATGTCACACAGCTGCTCTGGGGCCAGGTTTCATCTGCTCCTTCTCTCCCACAGTTTACCACCTTAATTTTATTGAGCAAAGCCTTCAGCCCTGGGGGAGGGATCAGCAGAGACAGGGCTTTGCCTTCAGGAAGAGACCATGGGTAAAACTGAGAGTGACCAGGTCAGGGCCTGAGGGGCAAGGAGTGGGTATATTCTGCCTCTCTGGATATGATTCCTTTTGGGCCTAGTGAGCTTATTCAGGGTCATAGAGGTCTTACTGTGCCTCAGTTGGGCAGATATACCCTCCTCTGCCTTGTCTCATTCCTGGGTATCAGCTAGCTCCATGAAGACCCAGGGAAGTAGCCTAGTCCAAGGCAGCTGCCAGGAACTTAGCACCAAGTTGCTTGATGCTCTTCCCCGTGAGGGATGCAGGCTTTATGGAGGGCAGGGAGGGTAAGTGGCCATCCTATGGAATAACCAAGTAAGTCCAGGTGGAATAAGTTTGGAAATAGAAGAACAAAGCTTTGTAGGAATGAAATTGCAGGTGTAGGGGTTAGGTGCAGTGGAGAATGTGACAAGCCCGGCAGCCAGCTCTTTTCCCAAGGGACTACCCTTTTTCCTTTACCTCTGTCCATCTCCCTTCTGTAATTTACCCATTAATTTGAAGAGTCTTCCTGATTCCTATTCCTCTGAAAAGCCCATCTTTAACTCTTTCCAGAGTGGTCTGGCCTCTCTTGATAAGACTCCTCTCCAGGTCCCTCCCCTTCTCACATTGTACTCATGCCCACCACTGCATACTCAGTCACTGTCCCCTGCCCTCTTTCACCTACCGGATTTGGTTGAAGCACCAGGATTTCCTTTGTGGATAGTAACTGATTTCTTCCTAGGTGAGGTTAATGCTCTACAGAAATCCATTTTTCTCCCTCTGGGCTCTCCCGCCCTCTCCTTCCTGCTGAATCCTGGGAGGGGGTACCACTTGGTCCCAGCACCTAATGTTTGCCATAGAGTTAATGTTTAGCACAAGGCCAGTTTCCCCTGCTCAGGCTCTGGCCCTACCCTGCCCTGCCCAGCCCTTGGTGAGGAGGTGGAGGAGACAAAGGCTGATGCAGACAGAGACTCATCTCCCAGGGCTTTATCTTTCTGGGTGGATACTGTCTCTATGTCACCCAAACAGTCATCTTCTCATTTGGCCTGTATCAATGGCCTGTGCTCACATGTTTCCAGGGAATTAACTGCCTCCTGTATATCTATGCCTGTATCTTGCAGGTTTTATGTGGCCCTGAAGAGAGACATTCTTGTCACCCTAGAAAATAGAATTGCTGCATTGATCTATGCCAGTGCTGTGAATAGGGCTGACTTGCAGATCAGAGAGAAGCTGGACTGTTTGTTAGACAGAGTAGGGGAACAGATGCTGGGCTCTGAGAAAACAGGCATAGAAATCAGGGATCACTGCATGTATGTGTGCAGGTATACACATAAGATCCGGTGTTGATAGGAACATTTGGAAAGGTCCATAAGGAATGCATCCATTTGGGTTCCTGATTCTTGGAACCCATCATGCTAAATATATAAGATATGAAACTGTTTGAGGTGTGGATCCTTCCTTGGGGGAGATGGTAGTACAATGGAGTAGGTTACATGGCAGGGTGAATGGAGACAGTGACTGAGTCGGGGTGTCCCTGGAGAGAAGGTCAGAGGAGATTGTTAGAAGAGAGTTTGGGGAAGGACTCAGCTCTTCTTCCTCTATTTTACTGTCTGTTTGAGAGAATTGTCCAGGAGTCTGTACTTAATGTGTTCATTGGATATTTTTTAAATATGCTAAAGTTTGAGTGGTACTATATCAAATTTTTGAGACACCTAGGACAGAGGGATAGTCTTCAGGTACAGGCCCAAGACTTTTGGGTGGCCTTGTTAAGGTGACCTTGCTGGAGAGGGTAAGTAAGCTGCCTCATTTGTTTCAAGGGTCAGACATTTCCTGGGAGACTACATCTTCCCAGCCCTACTGCTGTCTCATTCCTGTTTGGAGACTTTCTTGACCCCATTGGACTGGCTCCCATTTTTTCCTTCTCTCTATTTGGCTGACCAGGAGCCAGATTCTCTGCTCTTAGCCCTCAAAGTCTGAGCATCTGTCTGGGAATCCATTTGGTCTTCATCCCCCTCCTTGATCCCTTCACCCTGCTGAAGGTGTCACAGGGTTCTTGAAAAGGTAGGAGGTACTTCAGACAGGCCCCAAAGGTGTCAATCTCAACTTCTCCCCGACAGCACATCTGAGACCAGACCAGTTGTCAAACTCCCAAGCCTGCTGCTACTGCTGCTACAGGGAAATTGCTGGATGGATGGGTCAGCGAAGGGAGAGTGTGTCTCAAGAAGTCCCTGGCCATTTGAGTCTCAAATTTCAGATTTCATCATAACAGCGGTGCCCTTGGCACCTCCCTCTCCTTTTCCCTCTCCCCCCACTTGGAACCGTGGCCTGCAACTTTCCATTGCAGGAAACATCTGCTGGGGAGGCCAGCCTAGGCCAGGGGTTACTGCAGGACGTTGGCCAGGACCATCACCCAGATCCTGTAACTAGAAGCATGTGCAGGACTTTTGCCCTACCCGCCTACCCGCCTTGCCTCCCTCCCTCCTCCTCCTGCCTCGGTGACTCTTAACAAAGAAGTCATTTGCTGGCCAGCTGAAAGGAGCACGGTCTAGAGGAAAAAGGGGTGTGTGCAGGGGTGGGGGTGAGTGCAGGCCCTGTGCGGTCGCTTAGTGGTGGCTGCTCTGCCTGGGTGAGAGATATGAGTCACAGCAGCTGGGCCTGCCCCGGGTAGAGAGGGCACGTTATTTAAATGTGCCAGTTCATGGGACAGATCAGGCCTGGGGAGTGAGGCCTTCAAGTGCCTTTCTGGAGCTTCTGATGAATCGTTCTGCTATATGTGAGTAGCCAGCCAGGAGGTCTAGGCGTCTGGACCCAGCTGTAGGCCATCTTCTTCCTGTGAAGTTTGCCTGTCCACCTGAGGCCTCAGCTATTCTCAGCCAGCTTTCTGTGCCTGGTGTGTCTGCATCTTCTGGCTGCATCTGGGCTCTTTGGGTAACAGTCTGTACTGACCAGGAGAAGGAGGTGAATGGCCACATCCCTCTGGGCTGCCCCCAGCACAGAGACCAGCCAAGAAGTACAAAGCAGAGTCCAGCTATGGGAGACTGTCTGGCCAGCCGGTCCTGAGAACTATACTGATCACATCGTCTCATTTGTGGGATTTTGCACTGGAAACACAGATTTGGGAGGTGAAGAGACATCAACAAGGGTCTCGCAGACCCTCTTTCCAGAAGTCACAGGTCACTCTTCAGTGTTTAGTCCAGGCGAGGCCCATTGTTTTCTTCCTGTGAGGACAGTAGAGAGTCGAGAGTACAAGAAGCTGGACTTGGGCTCTCTTGGGAGGGGAAGCTGTAGGGGGTGATGGAATCTCTGATGGAGTCTGGGATCCTGTGGAGCCTCCTGCTGGAGCAGGACAGCCAGTCTCTGAGATGGTGCTTGAAGTTGTTTACCAATGAACTTGATTCTGAACACTGCTGCGGGCATGGATCTGAGGAAATCCCAGCTGTGAGTGTGTGACCTGATTTCTCAATTGTCCCTGTGACAATTCTGTGTACCTTTGCATGCCCCACTTGGCTCTGGATTTGACAACCTTTGAGTCAGAATTCTTTGGCCATTTTAAATTGGTGAGCCATGGCTCACCTTTGGAGAACACTGCTTTAAGAGTACCTAGGGATAGGAGAGGACCAGGGTCCCCAGCATCAAGAGAGGATGCATGGCTGTAGCCCAAGCATGCCCACCAAGTGTGTCTCTGTACTTCGGGTTCCAGAAGGGAGAGGCTGACCTGCCATCCTCATTCACAACTGGTAGAATTGGGGCACTTCTGTGCAAACCTGGAGTAAGGAGTCTTTAGGTTTACCTCCTCTTTCTCCTCTGCCACAAGCAGAGGAAGGGAGCAGCTGCCTTGCCCTAGGGAGATTGTGGCCAGACCTCCTGTATACCTCCATCTCTGTGGATATCTGTGTTCTCATTATGTATGCGAGAAGCCAAGGGAAGAGAGGGTGATGTGGGTGAAGAATTAGAAATAGGAGATGCCTGATGTCCAGTTTTAACTGAAGGAGGTTTTTACTACCTAGTAGTCTACTCCTCAAGCTAATGGTGGAACTTATTAGTTCCTGTCACAGGACTGGAAGACTAGTTGGGAGCCCCAAAGAAGGTGAACTTCTCATAAGAGAGTGTGCTTTGTGGGAAAGCTCTGCTGTTTCCTTCTTAGCTCATGGACAGGGCTCCTGTTCAGTGCTCCTTGAACAAGTCACTCAGCCTTTCTGTGCCCCAATTTCCTCAAGTGTGAAATAGGATAATGAAAATCACCCTATGGTCAGATGCAATGATGTATGTGACAGGATGGTGCCTGTGCTTGGTATGTGGTGACAACTCACTCATCGCTAGCACAGTAGCAGCTCTGGAAGGTGAATTAGACATAATGCGATCACAGTGGTGACCAGTCAGGAGGTTAAACAAGGGTTTCCAGTGTGTGGATTCTGAGAAACCAGTGGCCAGGTGGATTGGGTATCTCGGTACTAGTTTAAAGCTAATAAAAAGGACCAGATCACTGATCTGAGGTCTTTTCTAGCTACAGAAATCATGGGATAGGCAGGCTTCTGGATATCCACCCCAAAGGTCCTGATATCTGGTTCAAACATATGGCAGGTGATTTAGGAAATACAGAATTCTATGACAGCATAACATGATAGAAGGTAAATAGGCACATATTACAAGTAGAACTTATTTTGCAAATAAGGCAAGAACAAAAGCTTGAAATTCAAATTATAGACCGAGTGGTTGAATGTACTCTGATCACTCCTCCTCCCCACCCTGCCCTCTTCTCCCTTCTCCTTCACTGTCTCTCTTGGAAAACCTCCCCAGACTAAAGTCATGCCATTTTCCTCTCCCTCTAACTTTGCAAAATATTCCTCTATTTTTAGTCAAAATACCACTGGGCCAGAGCTCAGGTGGACATTGCATGGTGCGCATGTGTACATAGTGTCTGCTTCTTTATAGGCCATTCAGCATTACCGAAAGCCAAAAAATGGAGAGTTGAAGGGCCCTTCCCTCACCCCCATAACTGTATGCCAGTGGGTTCCCAGGGAGGTAGGTGAGAGTGTAAAAGTCCAGGAACCATGTACCGCCACCAGCAGGATAGTCTGTCCTAAGCATGTGCTCCTGGCCTAGGGTCAGCAGCCCGTGTCTTCCAGAGTAGGTCAGCGTGTCATAGGGTCTACTGCAGATGTCTCTCTGTCCCCATGTGTGGGTCTCCCTGGGTTGTGTACTTTTTGTGTCACCCTTGGGGGTGTCCTCAGCCTATGGCTACATACCTTTTCTCATTTTTATTTAGTTTTAAGAGCCTAGTGCCAGTGGCTCACGCCTATAATCCTAGCTACGCAGGAGGCAGAGATCAGGAGGATCGCAGCTTGAAGCCAGCCAGGGCAAATAGTTTACAAGACCCTATCTCGAAAAACCTTTCACAAAAATAGGGCTGGTGGAGTGGCTCAAGGTGAAGGCCCTGAGTTCAAGCCCCAGTACCTCCAAAAAAAAAAAAAAAGATTGAAAAAGCATGTTGCAGGATCAGCTTCTCTGTGCTGGGTTTTCCCACTCAAGCTTCTGTTCCTCCCCTGGCCTCATAAGGGTTGTGGATAAAAGAGCCTTGTCTTGGATATCTGCCACTGACCAGCATGTGGGTGACCTTGACCACTGGGCTTCTTTTTGGTCTTAGTTTCCTGTCTGGTACTGTTAGGGTTGGTAGATTATCGCGTGAACATAGGGAGGGAACTCGAGTGCCAGGTGTGCTTTTACATTTTCGACTTGTGCTTTTTCTAGCATGGGCTTTATGATTTTTTAGTTCCATGTTTTATGTTTTATTTTTTTTAAGTCATGTGCTTCACACACACAGCTAAGTGCTCACTGTGCTGGTTATGGCAACTTGTTTTGAGAGATGTGCTGAACCCTTTCCTCTCCTGGGTCCTGCTGAGGGCTGGGTTTGTCCCTCAGGCCCCTGCTTCACTACCTGCTGGCAGAAGGCAGAGCAGCAATAGCTCTTATGGTTGGTCCCAGGAAGCCCCCTGAAGGTGTCCCTCCTTCTTTTCTCTTAGTCGTATGTGGGCCCTGGCTTCATATTTTGATGTTCTCTCATTGATGGATGTGGTGTACAAAGAGTTTGTAGGGTCACATTCTCCTCACCATTTTTCCGTCCTAAGCCCCCTTTGCTAACCAGGCCTCCTAGGGGCTGTGTGATGGCAGAGCCCTTTTACAGGCAAGCAAATGCTCCTCCTGAACCTGCCCCTCTAGCCCTACAGAACCTGAATATATCCTCCTAATCTAGCCTTGGCCATTGTCATGCAGGTGTTAAGTCCCACTTATAAGCAGAGAAATGAAGACTTCAGAAAGCTCTTTAAGCAACTTCCAGACACGGAGCGCCTCATTGTTGGTGAGTGGTGAGGTGATCTGGGAGGAAGTACAGGAATCTCAGAGGTAGCATTCAGGCTGCACCTAGAACCAACCCAAGCACATCTCCCGTGGAACTGGAAGAGTACATGTCCAGAGCATGGACACTTACCTCTGCATGCGGCCACATGTGGCAAGGGGTTGGTGTGATCATGGATGGAGGGGAGAAAAGTTAAATTTTCTTGGGCCCCTCTGGTACCATGTTCATTATTCTGCTTTTAGGCAGTAGTATATTTCACACCTGTGTGTTCACTGTCCTGAGATGCTAGAGACTCCTGTGGCTGCTAGTTCAACTGTCTGGCACACCTAGTCAGTGACGAGCAATTGGGCTTCCCCAGTGCTGGTGGGAGGGATGATGCCCTACTATGCTGCAAATGCCTCCTGCCTCTGAGCCTCCCTGCCCTGCTTCTCATCACAGATTACTCGTGTGCACTCCAAAGAGACATTCTTCTTCAGGGCCGACTCTACCTCTCGGAAAATTGGATCTGCTTCTATAGCAACATCTTCCGCTGGGAAACTCTGGTAAAGAAGACCTGGAACTCAAGCTGGGGTGTAGTTCAGTGCCTATTATGTACAAGGCTGCCCTGTTTTCAATCTCCCCTCACCACTAAAAAAAATAACCTGTAACTTGCTCCCTTGGGCTATCTCCTTGGCCATAGCTGAGCAAGCTGCCCTTACTTTCTTTTTTTCATTGATTTTATGTTCTCCCCAAGCCTTTGCACAGTTAATGCAAACACATGCCCGAGTCTTGGCGCATACCCCATAAGGAGTCCCAATAGTAGAATCTCCCCTGCCATGTATTTTCCTCCCACATCTTGGGTGTGGAAGAGAGTATGAAGAGCATTTGCTTTTGGCAAGTGCAGGAAATTATTTGGCATGAGTTCCTGCACAGTGAGGCATAGTAAAGTAGAAAGGCCATTGACCTTGGGGCTCAGAGGAACTGGCTTGCATGCTTTCTGAAGTTAACTGTGTGATTTTAGGCTATTCTTCCTTTGCCTCTTCTTCATCTTATAAAATAAGGTAGAGAAAAATTAACTAGATGATTTTTATGGGCCCATCTGGCACCAATGTTCTGTTTCTTTAAGTGGCAAAAAATAATAGGACCTCTGCGCATTCAACAGACAGTACAAATGAGAAAGAAAGCTTACTGTATCAAGAATCCAACACCCTCTGCTGTGGAAGAGGCTCAGTCTCTACATAGTGGTGGGTGATATAAGAGAATAAACCAGATGGATCTCAATGCTGGTCCTATCCAGGGTTAGATATAGGAACTGTAATCTGATTTCTTCTTTCTCCACTGATACCACATGAATACTCTTTGCCTGACTACTAATTCCTCCTCTTGTTATCCATTCTCTGTTCCCATGGGGATGCCAGCTGACAGTCCGTTTGAAAGACATCTGCTCCATGACTAAAGAAAAAACAGCTCGCCTCATTCCTAATGCCATCCAAGTTTGCACTGACTCAGAAAAGGTAAATGGAGTCAAATTCTTCTTTCTATCCACCCACCCCGCACACTCCACTCCCTACTTACTCTACTCTTGTATTTCTGTCTTTAAATTTTTATTAATTTGGAGGCTGATGGGGTTAGGGTAGGGAGCAGAAAGTGGACATAGATTCCAGGAATCACTTCCTGGTGAGCAGCAGTGAGGGTGGCATGGCAGAATGTTGGACTTGGAGCCAGAACACCTGAGTGAGTCTTGTGACTATAGGCATGTTAGATAATCTTTCTGAGCTTTCATAGGTAAAATAGACCTAGCAATACCTATTTAAACAGTCTTGAAATCACATCACATATTTGAAAGTACTAAATTGTAAATAATTACACAGCTCTAAGCAGTCATCATTACTTATCAACACAGCCGATTATGTCTTAAGAATGAAGAATCTGATCGGAAATGGATTTTCCCTATCCACATGGAAAGAATATGGTAAATAAAACTGGGGAGAGGGAAATCAGTTATTTTTGGCCTATAGCCAGAGTCTGAAGGCTAATAGGTTCATGGCTAGAGGTGTCTGCTGTTAACATGGTCTACTTTTCCTATGGATGCAGGCAGTTCAGTGACAGGAACCATGGGATTCTGGGGTCAAATCAGGCTTTGGTTTGAATTCTGTTTTGTGATTATGCAAGTTGCCTAACCTCACTAGCTTGTTAGTAGTTATTAGCAGCTTTGTTTATTGTCTATGGCTTTTTGGGTGGTTTAAATGAAATAGCACTTGTCAAGTGCCTAGTAGGTGTGCAGTGAAGTCTGGTCTTCTGTCACTTTCTTCCTGTATGTTATAAGAGATCCTCACTGATGGGTAAACCCTATAAGAGCAGAGTCTTTTTCTGTTTTGTACCATCTTCTACCCTAAACATACAGAATAGTGCCTAGCACATATTAGTATTCAGATACTAGTTAAATGAATTGAAATAGTTGATGGGTTGCTGGGTTTGTCTTTTCCTTCCCTTTAGGCTGTTTCTGAGCTCACCGCTTACTTAGTTTCAGTAAGTGGGTGAAGGACATTTTTTATGGAGGTGGCAGTTGCATACCAGAGAGAAAAGCACTTGGTCAGAGAAAAGCACTGAAAGTATGGATAAGAAAATTTAAAGGACTTGGTTACAGTGGGGACATAGAGGTCCCAGCTACCTAGGCCCCTACTATGCTGACCCCCATCATTAAAGTCTCTGTGTGCTGATCTCATATAACTGAGAGTTAGTCATATTTGAGGATAAAATCATTGTCTTTAATTGGTGGTGCTGTGGATTGAACTCAGGTCCTCACAAGGACTAGGCAGGTGCCGTACCACTGAGCTGCAACCCCAGCATATTGTAAGTCTTAACGATGTTTCTTGCCGTTTTCTCTTGCAATCTAGCACTTTTTCACCTCGTTTGGGGCCCGGGATAGGACGTACATGATGATGTTCCGGCTCTGGCAGAATGCTCTCCTTGAAAAGGTAAGTGTGGTCCAGCTATGTCCTTTAGACTCAGCTGCATCCACCCGTAATTTTCTTCCCACATGGATGCCTTCCCATGGAAAGCTTGCTTTTCCTGTGGCACTGGCTAACTCCAAAGGAGCCTATATCTTCTCTTGGTCTGAAAATACCCCAGACTTGGATGAAGGACTGATTCTCCCACTGATATTATTGACCTAGGTCCTGAAAGGAGTATAACCTCTCATGAGAAAGCCAGGAGTAAAGCACCTAAAGTGACTATAGGCACTTGAGTTTTACTGTTTTAAAATGCACCCAGATTTGCGTTACCCAGGTGTGGCAAAACATGTAGCCACAGAAAGGATTGTCATGGAAGAAGAAATGACTGTCATGAAGTACAAAGTCTTGTATTTGCAGATCCCTAGAAACAAGAAGCCCAGAATGCCAGGCCACATGGGGAGCACCAAGATTGGTCAGGGGGCAGAGGAAGCATGGGAGACAGTGGGCAAGAGTCTTCACTCTGGTTTTGTGGGAAGGAATGGGAGCACATGGTAAGCAAGCCATGCAGGGTTGCTGTGAATAATTTCAGCAGGATTTAGAGTCCACTTGCCTGGTACTTGGCCTTGGGGTAATTAGGGTGGAGTTAGAGAGAGGAGTAGCTGATGATCATAGACTTCAGATTGGTTGATTGCATATGAATGAGTTGGTTTTTGTCTCTAGGAATTTGTAACCCTGGGATCTTCCACAACAGTCAGTAACGCTGACTGTAAGAAAATTCAGCTGAGATGGCTACCAATACACAATTAGAGTGTTTGGGTTACACTGGGAAGAGACACAGATGGTGCATCATGGTCCCTGCCCTTACAGAGTTCCCACTCCGGTGCACTTAGGTGTTGAAAAACTCTCTAAGCCAGAGAAAGAAACATAAGGGAAAAAAAAAAAAAAAACAAAAACCCTATATATGTGATTTGCTTCCTCAAGGTTAACATATAAATATGATTTACATGTGTATATTTGCCTATATGCATCTATCTGTCTTGTCTCTAGCCCAAACTAATTACTCTCCGAAGGAAAATGAGTAAATTTAATATTTTAGAGTTTCTTCTACTCTGAGGGTCTGTAGCTCCAATATAAATTTTAATAGCTTTCTTTGAACTGAGATCTCCTGCCTTTATTAGCTATTAGGAAAATGATAATATGTTTGAGTCTCCACTGGAAGGTTTGGATTTTTAGCTCACAACTACTATCATTTCTAAATAAGAAATAATATCCATTTGGCTCCCAAATGCATCACAAAGTAATTGTTACAAATTTTGTGTGATGATGAGGCTCTGCTTGTTGTGCTTGTCCTGACTAGAGTGAGACCAACTGAGCCAGGTGGAACTGGTCAGGGAAGGCAGAATGGAAAAGACGAACAGTGAAGCAGATTAGGATAGGGTTCAGCAGAAGGTAGCTGTGTCCTAGGCAGGGTGAAGAATGCCTCTGATGGCTGGAGATAGGAGCTTAGATCCAGATAAAGGAGAAGGATGCTTCTCTCAGGCCTCAGAGAGAGCTACCACCCCAAACCAGAATTGCCATTCCAGGTGGTTCTCCTCAGTCAGAAAACTGGAATGCTAGCTCATACTGTCCTGCCACCTGCCTGCTTCTTAACCATATCTTTAAAAATAGCATGGGCTTGGGGAGTTCACAGATTCTTTATGAAGTCTAATGGTATAAGCATTCCTTAGGTTTGATTTTTTTTTTTAAGTTATTAATTGCTTCTGTTTTTATTAGTGCTTTTGCCCTCTTTTTTAACATACATATGAGACTCAGTCATGGTTCCAACCTCTTTGACACTCTATTACCTCTCTTCAGAAACTCTGAACACCATGAGAACTAGTGTGTGTGTGTGTGTGTGTGTGTGTGTGTGTGTGTGTATAGTGTGTGTACTGTGCTTGAACGAAGAGACTTGCTTTTGCTAGGCATGTGCTCTACTACTTGTACCATGCCCCAGCCCTTTTTGCTTTAGTTTGTTTTTCAGTTAAGTTCTCTTGATTTGGCCTGGGATGTTCTTGGACCACAGTCCTCCTAGTTCCGCCGGAACCACAGGCCTGAGCCCCACCACACCCACCTTATTTTTTGAGATAGGGTCTCCCTAACTCTGGCCTCCAAATGTGACTCTCCTATGTCTGCATTTCAAGTTGCTGGGGTCATAAGCAAGTACTATCACACCTGGCCAAAGAACTGTCTTTTGTTAGGACAGTGCTTTTAAGGAGGACACATAGACACTCAATGGAGTTAAGAACAGCAGCAACAACTATGACTAATGTATAGAACTGTAGGCAAACTGACTGAATTTCAGAATAAGGAATGAAGTATTAAGGTAATCAGGAGAGGGCTAGATGAGATGATATTTAAGGCTCCTTAAAGTATTAGGGTATAGGATTCTTTCTGAAAGAGGAGTGGCCTAACTATGGAACAGGCCACATCTGAAGTCTGATGTCATTCTTAGAATTGACCCTGTAGGGCCTTCATGGCCATGTTTAATACAGAAGATTTCTGTGGTCAGTGGGAGACTGGGTCAGAAGACTTCTGAATGCTCACAGAGTCCAAGTCAAGAGCTCAGAGATCACCTTGACTCCAAAGTATACATTAGTTTATTCCATTTAATGCTGGATCCCATCAATAGGAGTTCATGTTGGAACAGTTACCACCCTCAAGGGGTCAGTTCATCCTGTTCTTTAAACCTCTGTTGAGGGATCAGGCAAGGAAGGACTACATTTCTGGCTTTGCTGAAATCTGATTCCTAGGCAGGAGATTGGCATCTTTCTGAGACCCCTGAGGTTGTCATGGAGGTGGTCACTCTCTTTTTGCTCCACTAGGGAAAGAGTGGCCTGGCTTCCACCTCCAGGGGAGCCAGCCTGGCTCTGTGCCTATGTGCAAAATGGGGGTACTCAAAAGAGGAAGGGTCAGAGTTGTTCCTCTTCACCCCTGCAGCCCCTGTGTCCCAAGGAGCTCTGGCACTTTGTCCACCAGTGCTATGGGAATGAGCTGGGCCTGACCAGTGATGATGAGGACTATGTGCCCCCGGACGATGACTTCAACACAATGGGGTGAGTGAGGTTGAGGTGGGCTGCCCAGGGAACCCAGGGCAGAATATGACAGTGAGGATATCAGTGGGAAAATGACATCTGAGTAGGGCCCTGAAGGAAATGAAGGAGGAAACCATGGCCTCCTGTGGGAAGAGCTCTTATATCAATGGAGTAGCAAGCAGGCCTGTATGGCTGCAGAGTGAGCAAGGGGAAGTGGTTGGAGATGAGGCCAGGAAGTCAAGGGGTGAGGGATTGATAGCTTTTTGGCCAACATGATGACTGGATTTTACTTTGAATGGAATGGGAAGATTTGGAGTAGATAGTTGATAAGTCTAACTGAACATTTTAACAGGATCATTATGACTTCTCTGTTGGCAATACACTGAAGGGGAACAGGGCAGAAGCAGAGAGACCCATAAAAAGGCTGTTGAATAATTGAGATAATTTAAATGAGAGATGATGATGGTTTGGATCAGGAAGCTTACAGTAGAAATGGCAATAAATGGTTAGTTCCTGAATATATTTTGAGAGATTTGCTGATGGATCAGAAAGGAACCAGAGGTAGCTTTTAGGTTGGTTTTACCAACCTAAGACTGGAGTGGTTCCAAATTGAGATGGGTAATACTTTATGCAGAAAAGTTTTGGGGAAGATAGGAGGTTGGTTTTGCCAAAGTGAGATTGAGGTGCCTGTTAGCCAAGTAGAGAGGTCAAGTAGACATTTGGGAATGAGTGTGGAGTTCACTCAGAAAACTGGGCTAGTTTTCTCTAGTAAACTTGGAAGTTATTAGTGGATAACCAGAGGATTGGCCAGAACATCCAAGTGACTGACTAAACATGAAAGGAAGTTGAAGGAGTGGACTTGGGAGAACTCAATGAAAGGAAGAAACAGCAAAAGAGATCTTGAAAGAGCATCCAATGGGGCAGGAGGAATGCTAGGAGAGTTTCATATCCTGGAAACCAAGATCAGGAAGAAGTTAAGAAGAAGGGACTATCCCAGTATCCCACACTGTTGGTGGGTTAGGAAAGATGCGGGCTGGGAGTTGACCGACACTAAGCATACTTGAGATTGGAAAGGTAGGTAGAGGCTGGGGGAGGAGAGAGAAGCTAGAGGACTAAATGTAAGTGTGTGGTACTTAGACCTGGGCTTGATGACAAATGCTGATGTGTAATAGTGGAGTCATATAACCTCTGATAAAACCTATTTGATTATCTGTAAAATGTACATAATGATTTACCAGAGCTGTTATGCATTCAGATGATTTGTGAAGTACAAATCAGATGTTGGTTCCAATAATGACTATAAGGATGATAATTTCTCCCTGGTGGGAAAGCTGTGGTGGCACCCACCTTCATCACAGGGAAATTCTACTCTTGGGTGTAGAATGCAGAGAAGTTTATTAGTTTTGATCCAGAATTTGGGCAATACCACTGAGGGAGTACTTATATCCAGAAGCCTATCTTAGTTAACCTTTGGGAACAGAATATATGCTCAGAACCCAGATGTTCAGTTCAAGTGGTCGGGATGGGATGGGATCCAAAGGCTAAAGAGTAGGATAAGATGAATAATGGTCATATTTAGGTAGGGATAAATCTAAGGAGGGGTGCCTAGAAAAGTTATTGGAGGGAGAATTCTTACATGGGGGTTAGGGAGAGGTGGGGTGAGATAGGGAGGTTTCAGGAAAACAATGTGGGGAGCAGATATAAAGGAAGATATTAGAGGAAGATTGCTTACAAAGCAAGGAAGCAGGAACCCCCATAGTTTTGGATGGATAGACAAGTCTGAGGGTCTTAGAAGGAGATCTGATCATTGAGACTAATGTGGGCTCACTGGGGTCTTCTCTAGCTACTGTGAAGAGATCCCTGTGGAAGAGAATGAAGTGAATGACAGCTCATCCAAAAGCAGCATAGAGACCAAGCCAGATGCCAGCCCACAGCTGCCCAAGAAATCCATCACCAACAGCACACTGACCTCTACTGGGAGCAGCGAAGCCCCTGTCTCGGTATAGGCAATAAGTCCTGGGCATGTCCCCAACCTTGTCCAGTGGCCAGTGTCTCCTAACTTAGTTAACACCATAGGAGCTCAACCTAGAAGGCGGTGGAAGGAAAGTTCCATTGTTGGCAGCTTGTTTCAGGAGGAGTCCTAGAGAACATGGGCTCTATGTGCTCTAGAGGTGTAGTCCAGGGTTCAGAGCTGGATTCTAGGTGTATGGGTTACATGATTTGGTTTGACTTCTGAGAAAATTAAAACTATTCCAAGTCTACTTGTGAACTTGGCCCTTTTTGGGCTTCTCCAGATCAGCCAGTCTGGTGAAGAACGATTCTGGCTCTTTTTTTTTTTCCACCTCCTTGAGCTGAAGTCGAGGTCATGTATGAATATAGAACTGTTCATTGTTTATTCGCCCATTTGATTAGTATTTATTGAGTTCCTCTGTGGTTTATTCTCCCACTGTGCTAGACTTTATGGAAGTTACAACTATATCTAGGAGGACCTCTCTCCTGAGAGAAATTGTTACAGAGAAGATAGAACCTTGATGAAGGAAGAGGGTCATGGCCTGTGCTAGCAGGTAGAAGAAGGTGTGGGTTTCCTGACAATAGGACTCCCAATAAAGGAAGCCTGGTGTTCCAGTAGCTTAGGGGTCACCTGGCCTTAGACTGAAAATGTCATTCACTTAATGACTAATCTTCATTTTCCATCTATGAAGTTGTATTTAAATTTTAAAGAATTGTATTGATTTCCTTCTAGTATTGATGTGAGAATGAATCTGAAGGAATGCCTGTGAATCCTTTTAAGCTAGGAAAAAGTTTACTCCCTAGCTGGCATTGCTATAGCATGGGGGGTGAGGGGGGAGGATGTGACTCCTGGAAGGACCTGAACCTAGAGATACCAGCCCTACTGGCAATGTGGGCAAGCATGAGGGAGACAGCAGCCTAGAGTACTCTGTTCATCTTCCAGACTAGCCTAGCTCTTGAGCAGCTGCATAGGGAATATGAGCACTTCCAAAGCCAGGCCCTTGGTTTCCCTTTTGGGAGTAAATCTATACAGCTTGTCCCTGGTGGGTGACTCCTCAATATCGTCCTCAGTTTGATGGCCTGCCCCTGGAGGAGGAGGTACTGGAGGGTGACGGATCCCTGGAGAAGGAGCTTGCCATTGACAACATCATAGGGGAGAAGATTGAGATCATTGCGCCTGTGACCTCCCCTTCATTGGACTTCAATGACAATGAGGACATCCCCACTGAGCTCAGTGACTCTTCAGACACCCATGATGAAGGTACATAGCAGCCCTTTTGAAGGTTTAAAAGCAGTCTTGATGTAGGGTCTGGAATGAGTCCCCAAGGTCATGGTGGAATAGTGGGTAAAGAGCTCTTACAAAAAAAAGTAGTCCTCGCTTCAGCAGCACATATACTAAAAAATTGGAACGATACAGAGAAGATTAGCATGGTCCCTGTGCAAGGATGACACACAAATTTGTGAAATGTTCCCAAAAAAAAGGACATTTGGATTAGCATACATCCCCTTTTAGGTGCTCACTACAGGATCCTCATCATTCTGTATGTCTTTATTTGCACAACAGATACTACTTTCCTGACATTCTGTCTTGACATAAAATATACCCTTCTGTTGACACTGGCTTGCTTGCTGCCCTGTTCCTCAAAGGTGTGTAAGGCAAGGCAATGTGGGTTATTACTAGTGAGCAGATACAGAAATGCTCTATGGTTCAGCTGAGGACAGTCTCTCCTAGGGATCATCTGTCTAACCTTGTGTGTGTTTCTAATCTTTGGTTGATTTGTCTACCTCTGTGAACTAGGTTCTCAGGCCAGTGCAAATGACTGCACAGATTGGGCACTGCCTAACACCAGAGGTGCCATAAACATGTTGGTTTATGTAAATGGCACCTCACTGAACCACAGTGAACATTCTCCTCACTGTACTCACGTAGTCCACATCTGTACCACCATAGGCTGACTCTGTAGGATACCCCCATATTCTTCTCAGAGGTGCTAGAAATGTCAGCCTCTCACTTGAGGTCACATACCAGGCGCAATTATTAGGAACTGAGGGATACTGGGTGCTTGAGAGGAGCACTGAGGTCCAGCAGCTCACTTGTGCCCTCGGATACATTCTCCTGAAGCAAGAAGAAAATACAGATAACTATAGGTGAAATGCCTCAGTGACCTGCTGGATGGGCATGTCATTCCTGAAGCTTCACTTTTGGAATCCTCCCAGACCTTACTCTCTGTGCCTCTCCCTTTGGTTCATTCTGGTTTATGTGTGTCCACTGCAATAGAGCAGTAATCATAAGGTTTTGTTTTGTTTTTTTAAGAGAGGGAATATTGAATTCATGGAGGAAATCAGCTGCTTTGTGTACTTAGGAATCATAGCCAATCAGGCCAGCCCCAGCCTGACAAGCTTTTCTATAAACAAATCATTTCAGATTAATGAGCGGCTCCTGAACCCCCCTGTGCCAAGAGTTGCAATGCCATTTGTTGTCCATTGTGGCTACCTTAGACTCCATAACTCATCCTTTGGAGTTCGGGCAACCTTAAGAAGTAGTCATTTGTTTGAATTTTAGTCTGAGATCAACCTAATTATGGAGATTTGAAAGTATAAAAACAAATGCAGTCATGTGTCCCATAGTGATATGGCCACATGTATGAAAATGTTCCCATGGTGATATTGGAGTGTCTTACGCTTTTTGTAAATACACTCTGCAACATTTACATGAAGATGAAATCACCTCACAACTCATTTCTTAGACTATTTCCTGTAGTTCAGTGACCCGTAACTATAGTACATTCCCAAACTCTTTGTAAAGGATGAATGAACAGAGTGTCACCTTGAGTAAACTGCATCCCAGTGAAGGAAAGGAATGAAATGAAAGACATCAGCAGCCCTAGCCTTGGTGGTGGTACCCACATTAGCCACAGAGACATCATTGCTCTGGGGTTGTCCCTGGGGCCTCTGCCCTCCGTTGTTATCTCTACTTCCTCATTTTCTCTTCTGTGCAGGGGAGGTGCAGGCCTTCTATGAGGACCTGAGTGGCCGGCAGTATGTGAATGAGGTCTTCAACTTCAGCGTGGACAAACTCTATGACCTGCTGTTCACAAGCTCGCCTTTTCTGCGGGACTTCATGGAGCAGCGGCGCTTCTCTGGTCTGATCTGCCAGGCTGGCCCCTCCCTGACTGTGTATCCTTCCCCCCCCCTCTGCATTTCCCTCTTCTCTTTCCTCTTTTCCCCCCTTTTCCCATGTAACTTCCTTCTTCAGGCTCCTTATGGCCCAGAACCCTCTTCCTGTCCTTATATGGTACCAGAGCTACTTTGGAACTCTCTTGCCTTCTCTGTTCCCAGCACTGCAGCTTGCCACATGCCCCCTGTTCAGTAGGCACCAAAGACTCCCCAGTGAATGAGACCTTCCTGGTCTCTTCCCTCTCTCAGCAAATCAGCTCTGTTCACTGGAAAGCACCCATCTGTACTAACCATGTCACATTAGCTCTTTAGTCTCCATAGCTGCCTCATTGGCAGATACTGAGATATTCTGGCACTGATATTTCAGGAAGCCAAACCCCATTTTATTATTTACTTGCTCACATATTGTAGCTGAAAGGGGCTGATTTGTACCTAGGACTCTGGGAATTCATACTTTGACCTTCTGTGCTGTGTCTTCCCACAGCAAGGATGCAGAACTGGCCTGCAGAGCTCCTAAGCACCTTGCTGTGGGAAAAAGCCCTGGGGCGGCAAGGAGCCCCTCTGCCAGGAGACATGCTAAAACACATGAGAGGTCACACCTTAGAGGAGAGGTCTTGTTCCCAAGGGATCCCAGGCCCTTGCCACAGTAACTCCAGTGTTGGCAGCACCCTTGTAGGTGGCCCCAAGACCTCCTGCCCCAGCCCACAAACAATCTGCATTCTAGAGCCCTGTGTAGAATTTCGGCAATGCTACAATGAACCTCTTTCTGCTCTGACTACTCCTTCTTCTACCGTCCTCCCCTAGCCCTCAGACACCCATTGGCTTCCTTGGTGGGGGCATTATTAATAGTCAGCATGGAGCAAGAAGTTCACTGGAAGACAGATTCAGATGGGAGCCATGCTCATTCCTCATTTCAGGGCTCTTCTCTCCCTCAGATATCATCTTTCATCCATGGAAAAAGGAAGAGAATGGAAACCAGAGCCGAGTGATTCTCTACACCATCACCCTTACCAACCCTCTGGCTCCCAAAACTGCCACTGTCAGGGAGACACAGGTGAGTAGAAGAGGGAAGAGGCAAATAATAGTGGGCTGGGAAGTCCTGTTCCTGCATAGGGTGAAGGCGTGGTTTAGCCCTAAGCTGGTGGCATCTCGCTGACTCAGGTGCTCCACTCCCAATGGTTCTGCACCTTCCAGACAGGATTCCTGGGATGAGGAGGTTGAGGAAGGTGCTTTTCCCATCTTGCATCTCTTCAGTTTTGGCCAATGGACCTTTCCTCCCCACAGACCATGTACAAGGCGAGCCAAGAGAGCGAATGCTACGTGATAGATGCAGAAGTTCTCACCCATGATGTGCCCTACCACGACTACTTCTACACCATCAACCGTTACACACTCACCCGCGTGGCCAGGAACAAGAGTCGACTCAGGTGTGATGTGTAAAGGCCTAAAATGAGTTCAGATGGAGGTCTTCATATTAGAAGTGTTCATTTGCTGTTCACGGGGAAGGTAGAATTGGTTATCTGCCTGCTGACTCTTGATTCTACCTTCTCTGGGAAGCCTTCTGAGACTCCCCACCTCTCTGTCCTGGCACTTCATTTTTCTTTCCATAAATGTGTTCCCTTCACCACTCTGTACATCTCCTAGGAAGACCTTTATCACTACCACTGTCTGCTGGTTTTCTATGGTTTACACAGTTCTATGTAGGTGCCTTAACTACTACTTCCATTGGAATCTTAGAATGACCCAAGGTCTCATTTTTCAGGTCACTGATTTTACAAGTGTCACATCCCCCAGTAAGTACTGACACTTAGCTCTTAGAAACAAAAGCCTTTTCTTCCCACCATGCCCTATGTATTGCAATTTCCTGTTTGTCACCCAGGTTGGTCAGTGAGCTCCTGGAAAGCAGGAATCCTATTCCATCTATCACCTTGCTCCCAGCTCTCTGTACTGGGCCTGCTCGTATCAGAAACCAGGTGTTGGCTCGAATGAATAATTAGCTCTTGGCACTGTGATGTGCGTTCAAAGGAAGGAAGAAATTGAGACCCTGATGTTTGCAAAAGTATAGTGTAATTAAAAAGTCGACACATGCCTATTTGAATCATCAGATTGTATATGTGGGTCATTAGACCAAGTTCTTTTGGTTGTAAGGAGCAAGAACCTCATTCATGTACAAATAAAATATGAGTTTACTGAAAGGTTACACAGGATGTCTCTGGAATCGGGACGAGCTCAATAAGAGCCTGCATCTTTTTCATCTTCTGTGTTTTGAAGGGGGATGGGGGGAGGAATGTTTTGTGCTGCTCTCTGAGCATGTATTTCTCTTCCCCCTTCTTTCTCTTTCTCCTTCCTTCCTTTTTCTCCCTTGCTTCTGTTCCTCTTATCCTCCCCCCACCCCCACACATACACACTATCTAAGATTTTTAACTCCACATTTCTTAGAGGATATTCCTTGTGCTGTCCACACAGAGGTCGACCTTGGCTACACCTTTACTGGGAGGTTCCATCCAGTGAACTCTCATTGGGTGGAGAAGTGAGGTAGCTCTAAGTGTGGGCATTCTCCCATTAGTCCTTGGTAGAGGTAGCATTGTGGAAGAAGGGTTAAAGTCAGGCAGATGGTCTTAATTTGGATCCTCCAGCCTCCTGGAATTATAGGTATGTACCACCATATTGAGCCAGGTGATATTTTCAAAGGTGAAAGTGATGAGACCCCAGCGCTTCATTTGGACTTGAAAGGGTTTGACTTAAGTCCCAAATCTTCCCTTGACTGACTGACAGCCTGCTAGGTACCATCCGGAGCCCCCCTGGTCAGGGGCAGTGCAGAATCATGAAAGAATTACGGGTTTGGCATCAGAAGCTCTTGTGGTTAGCCTTTGGTCTGCTAAAATATTACTCTAAACCTCAGTTTTCTCAATTATTAAATGCAGATAAATCCACTAGCCCTTGTCAACTTCAGAGGGTGACCAGGGAGATTGGATGATGTGATGTAGTTGAAAGGACTTTTGAACTTGAAAAGTGCAACACAACTGTGAAAAAAATCTTGGCCTTAAACATGATTTTTTTTTTTTTTTCCCTTTTTGCATCAGAGGAGGCGCTGCTCAGGAAATAACTGATTTTGTTTCTGACTTGTTCCTCAGGGTCTCCACAGAGCTGCGCTATCGCAAACAGCCCTGGGGGTTAGTGAAAACCTTCATTGAGAAGAACTTCTGGAGTGGGCTAGAGGACTACTTCCGCCATTTAGGTAGGTGCCGCAGTCATCATTGCTCATTCACGTTAGACGACGTGGACTTTGTGAAACTAAGTACCTGTCATTATGGGGAATGGGAAGCATGGACAATGAAGGGAAAGACAGAGGCAATGAAGTTGTTTCATGAGATCTCTGAGTCTACTCCCAAAGTGGATATCAAATTTGGTGTCTTTATGGATATGTGGCTCTTCCAAGAGATTATTATCTGTGGGGAGTGGATTATGAGAAGCCTATGAGAACTTGACATAGCACAGCTATGCCCAATAATCTGCAGGCTGAGCCCAGCCACAGAAGAGGAAGAAGGCAAAATGCAGCACTGCTGCTTTTCATAAGATGTTTACGTTCAGAGAGTAGTGATCGCAGGTTTCTCTTGTTATAATGTCATGCGCCACCCCCCTCCCAGAACTGTTTGTTGCTCCACCTCGTTTGTGACTGTATATAAAAGACTCCCTGAAGGAGGATGTTGGTTGGTTGGCTGCTTTGTGAGGAGTAGCTGCTGCTGCTGCTGCTGGCTGTTGTATGCTGTGAGTCTTAAGGACTGAGACTTTAGGAGTTACACTAGAAATTAGAGGAAACATGGGACAGTGCGAGTCTAAGGACCAAGACTTTAAAGAATAGAAAAGAAGAAAGGCTTTGAAGAATACAAAAGAAGTAAGGTTTTAAAGAATGAAGAAAAGAAGCAAAGTAAAAGAGAAGTAGAAAAGAAGTAACGAGGCTGTTGTGTGTCTCCATCCGAGCACCCAGCACATTTGACCCAGCTTCCTGCATGTTTGTCTTCTATCTTTTGTCCTTTCTGCATCTCCAGTTGCCCCCAGTTAGGTTTCTAGGGCAAGCTCTCACGGGTTGCGAGAATTGGCTATAATGTCCTGTTATCATTGTGAGATTTATACTATCCCCTACAAATGGACCTCCTGTCTAGTGATCCTGGTAGTCATTTTGTTATTAAAAGGACCTGTGAATCACCTGTGGATGTTTCTATTTAGAAAGTTTGTGATATGCTCTGAATCTTATACATGAGGGAACATATGGCTATAAGTAATGTCCCAGGGAGGGGTTTGGGCAGCGGTGGGTGCTGATGTACTCCCCTTGCACATCCCAGAGGGTCATCTGCCCACTGGGCCAACTCCCAAGGGCACAGTATAGGAAAGTGATTCCTATAGGAAGCTGAGTCTGCAGGTCAGCATGTTGGGTTGCATGTATGGGGAGGTGACCTCTGATGTGGCCCATGTGTGTCTGATAGAGAGTGAGCTAACCAAAACGGAGAGCACCTATCTGGCTGAGATGCACAGGCAGTCTCCCCAGGAGAAGGCTAACAAGCCCCCCGCAGTGCGGAGGAGAAAACGTCCCCATGCCCACCTGCGGGTCCCTCACCTGGAGGAAGTGATGAGCCCTGTCACTACACCCACTGATGAAGACGTCGGCCGTAGGATCAAGCACGTGGCAGGTGTGTTCCAGGTGGGGGTGGTGCTGTGGAATGGGGTTTGGGCTGCAGCTGCCTGCCCATCTCGTGGAGTGTGCACCTGCACTCATGAGCACAGGATTTTACACCTTGTATGCAATTCGTTTATTATTTGGCTGTAACCCAGGCTCCCTGTGCTCTGTCTGCTTCTTTTCTACTTTTAAGTTCCTCAGCCCCCGCGCCCTGCTTTAAAGTTGACTTTGGGTCAACTGTGTAGCTAGCTGCCTAGGCTGAAGTACGCGGCTCCTGGGTTCTTGTAAAATAACCCAGACCCCAGAGATGAATTCATAGCACAAAGATCAGGGAGTCCAAAGCAGCCCCCAGGTTCTTGGCCCGCCTAACACACACCAAAGGGCCTGCCCACTCAAGCTATGGACTCCCCTGATATTTCTCTTTCTTCCCATCCAGCCATTCACAGCCTTACATATTTGCTCAGTCATGAAACCTGGGGCCTTGGCTGGGGGGTGTGGCTCAAGTGGCAGAGCGCCTGCTTAAGAAGCACAGGTCCTGAGTTCAAATCCCAGGATCTCCCCTCTTCCCCCTCCCCACCCACCCCCACAAAAAAAAAAAGGAAGAGACCTGGGGCTACAAAGGAGCTAGATACTGAGGAATCCACTGTTTCACAAACTGTGCTTTGCTTGACCAGTGCCATGCCCAGTCAGTGGACTTTTGGGACATGATGGTGACAGCCTATTTTTTCTCCCCCAGGTTCCACGCAGACAAGGCATATCCCTGAGGACACTTCCAATGGTTTCCACCTGCAGAGTGTGTCCAAGCTGCTGCTGGTTATCAGCTGTGTGTAAGGGACTCTATGCTCTCCTCTCACCTGTGCCCCAATACCTTCTCTCTCCTGCCTTATGCAGAGAGATCATGCCCATCTCTCAAGTTTATGAGCCCTGTTTTTTTTTTCTTTTTTCCTTTTTCTTTGTCCTCTGGTCTTCTCTGTCTGCATTGGCTGCTTAGACTGCTTTTTCTTACTTCTTTGCTCCTTTTTATTGTATTTTACTCAGCACTTACAGTATGCTAGGCTTTCAGGAAAAAAGTGCTGCACATAACACCCATGCCCTTTAGGAACTCAACATCCAGTGGGTGAAAAAGACAGGCTATCCCAATTCCACAGTAGGGTAAATGCTAGCATAGAGATGCTGCTGAATATTTTATGATTGCATTCAATTACAAGAGATGTTCTGTGACTAGCCATTCATTCACAAAGCCCACACTTTGGCAGGGTAGCCAGACAAAATCAATGTATGGACAGTTAATATAGATGATTTATAATTGCTGTGACATTATAAAACATAATAATATTCATAATAATATTCTGTGAAATAAGTTGCACAGAAAGTTGAACTACAGAGATGGGAAATCAGGAGAAATGAAGGTATAAGATAGGAGAACACAACTAGCTGATGTGCAAGTCCGTGCAAGGGACTGCAGCTGAGAGGTTCCATGAGGGAAAGACTCATTAACCATTTAATTATGTTATGAAGAAAGATGAGTCACTGATTCAAGGGACTATCGGTGTTTGTGTCATTAACAGCAGTCAGGAATTTTGTGTAAAGTTCTCAAAGAAGACACTCTAGTCTCCAGGTGTATCTTAGTTGCCACAAGTTATCCAATGGAGGTGACAGGTCTTTGTTGATGTGGACCTGATTCCGAGGAGACAGTGTAGACTGCACAGATTAATTGCCCACAGCATAAAAGCTATAGGTGTGAGTAAGACCCCCCATGCAGTGTATTGAATGGGATAGAGATGAGGCCAATGACAACTCTTGGGACTATTTACAGGAGAAAAGCCTGTAAGGAACATAAGGAGAATTCTTATACTTATCTGAATGTTAGCATAAAAGTCAATGCAAAATCATTCTGACTGTAGCATGAGAAACCAAGACATTAGTACAAAATTAAGAACTAAGAAAAGTGTAAAACTCACATTTAGAACATCAGTGCAGTGTGATTCATGGCATTGTTCTGTTAAAACTACATCTCTGGTGTTGGCTTTTTGTAAATGGAAAACTGTAGCCTTCGGCTAGTTCTGTATTGATGCTCTCTGCATTTTAACCTAAGTAGATAAAGCCTGCTTTCCTAAATAAATGGTGTTAGCTAACTTGGGGGCTTTGTAATTTTAGGAAAATCAGGCTTTCTACTTAAGACAAAATAGATTCAGGCTGAGGGTCTGCCAACAGTCTGCCTGGGGAACAGATTAGCACCAGCACAGCCTGCCCATACCCGACTGGCTTTCGCCATCACCTGCCTGCAGTGCAGTGACTCAGCCTCCCACCTCTTTATTCTGTTTGGACCACAGTAGGGCCTTCCCTCAGACAGCACCCGGGAGTGTGCCTTGACCTTCACTTAGCACAGTCAGGATTGTATACACAAAGCCAAATTCAGGCACGAATGTGGGCAGGCAGCACGTGAAGAGGTGGGTATTGGGATGACCCAGTGTATGCTGAAATGATTCAAGACAGCATTGTTCAAATGCAGCACAAAATTTAAGACAAGTTCTGGTGGTGAGCGCAGAGGAGAGCCCCAGGAAATTGCAGCTGCCAGGTGAGGGAACACTTCCCTTCCACAGTGCCAGAAACACAAATGAAAAACACAACTTCACTCATCCATACCCTTTATACAGTCAAAGGTAGAGTGTAAGCTTTTCTTTCGCTTTTCTTTTTCCGCCTGCATGTTTTACCTCCCCATTTTTGCCATCTTCTCTTTTCCTATGTGTATCTATACCTCCTCCTTTCATGAAAAGAGCCACGCTTTAAGGTGGGTGTACTGTACGCCAGGGTATATGTTCCTTTTCATCCACATAACAATCCCACTAGGGTAGGTATTATTGTCCCTATTGAGAAAACTGGGTTACAGAGAAGATAAGAAACTTGCCACAAATTTAAAAAAATTTAAAGTGATGATTCAGGATTTATACACACTTCTGTGTGTCCCTGGATTCTCTTTATCCCTGTCTTTATCTCTCCTTCCCATGAGCTTCTGTCATGAAATGACCTGGGCAACTGCTGAGGCTGAGAGAAGAGAATTTTCAGTCTTCCTATGATTCTGCATTCCCCAATAGGTCCTCCAGCCCTGAGTCGTCCTTGCTTCTCCCTGTCTCTGACCAATTCTGACTCAAACTCTGGGAGGTTTCAGTTGGTTCCCATGACCCCTGCCCGATGGTGGCAGGTGCAGGCAGGGGACTTTGTAGCTTCAGGGAAGTTCTGCCAGCACCTGTAAAGTACCTCAGTTCTCTTTTCAGTTGAGTACTGACATTTGGTAGGTAGGAGGAATCTTTTCTCAAGTATTAACTCAGTCCAAGCCATTTTCCTTTGCTCCTTCCTTGCTGGGTCTCCACATCCATGTGGCGTTGCTTCTAGTATTTCTTTTTCATATATGCTCACTTACTTTCTGGCTCAGTTGAAGTGCATTTTCTTCTCTCCTCACATCCCTCTATTTCTAATCTCTGCCTCCTCTCCATTTTTCTCCCTTGCTCCCATTAGGATTTGTTTCAGGTACTGGCTCTATGATTATACCCTTTACCCCTCATCTCTTTTCCTCTCCACCTTCCCTTTCATCCCCCAGGCACCCAGATTCTAAGTGTCTGTGTTTCCCTTTCCCAATGCCTTCAATACCTTCATCCTACCCCTACCATGGCTCTCCTGCTGTGTCCTGGACCCTCCAGATTAGGCTGCTTCTCTCTCTCTCTCTCTCTCTCTCTCTCTCTCCCCTCCTTGCTGCATCTCTCTGGCTCCCTCCCTCCCTCACTGCAATGCTTTGGATGACACAGTGGGCAGGCACACAGCCTCAGGTTGGGGGAGATCCCTGCCCAGATTCCATCTGATTGCCATTGCTTTACCTCCTTTGTTTCCCCCCTAGTCTGGTGCTGCTGGTCATCCTAAACATGATGCTCTTCTACAAGCTCTGGATGCTGGAATATACCACCCAAACCCTCACTGCCTGGCAGGGTCTCAGGCTACAAGAAAGGTAATCCTAGCCTCACCCGCTTCCCTTCCCTGTACCCCACCCAATGCTCAGTCCTTGCTCCTGCCTCCAGTCCTTTGGAACTACCTTATTGCCCTTGTCCCAGGGACAGCCCTTTGGGATGGGCCCATAGGCAAGCTCTAAAAATCTGTCCTACAGTCTCCATCCACTTCTGATTTGGGGCATTGAGGAACCAGGGGCAGTGAGCAGAGGACAAAGCACTCTGATGTGACTCTCTGTCCTTTAGGGGTCTGGGAGCACAGGACAGTCTTCTCAGCATAACTCCAGCTGCTGGGGTGCCCCTTCTTCTACCCCACAGGTTACCCCAGTCTCAGACCGAATGGGCCCAGCTCTTAGAGTCCCAACAAAAGTACCATGATACTGAGCTACAAAAGTGGAGGGAGATCATCAAATCTTCAGTGATGCTCCTTGACCAGGTGAGACGCCCACCTTCCCAATGTTCCCTCGTCTTTGGGAGTCAGAGCTCCTTCCCTTATGTTCTGAGAAGTCTTCGTCTCTATCACCTCTCTCCTGAAGTCTCCCTCCCTTTCATTCTTCTTCCAGGCCATCCACTGTTCTAATTTTAAAGCCATTCTTGAATGGGTTATTAGAAACACAGGCATTCTCAAATAATTACAATAACATAACACATTGAATTTGCAGCAGGAAGGCTGTAGGTTCATTGAAAGTACTTTTTTTCCCTTCTTTTTTATTTGTAACCTATAGCTGTCAGACAAGCCTTTGAACAGAGAATGCCCCCTTTCTCAGATCTCTTTCCAGAAGACATGCGTGTCCTTTGGATGTCTGTCACCCTCCCCCGTTCCCTCAAATATTCCCAGCCTCCAGCGTGACACTCCTCCTCAGGCGCTGTGCTGAGAAGATCACTGTCTGTGTCTTTATAGTATACTTGTTTGTACTATGCTAAACCAGGCTATTTAAGAAAATCACTCTGGGGCATAAATGAATAATTAGCTTTAGTTTCCTTGTGTGTGTGTGTGTGTTAGCGGGGAGGGGACTTCCTTCTTACCTCTAGAAAAATTTAATGTCTCATAAAAAGTGCCCTTATGTGGTTACCAGGATGGCAGGAACTACTTTTGTATGCAAGAAAATTGGGAAAGAGACCCAGGATTTGTCCTGCTACATTGAAATTTCTATCCCCGAAGAGGTGTTGTTCAGATATCTTATGGTCAGGTCTGAGATGGAATCCCATCCTTGCCACTTAATTAGTTTTGTGACCTAGAGTCAGGGATTTAATTGCAGTGAGCTTCACTTCTCTCTTTTATAAAATAGAAACTGTGATTATAGCTTTATGGGATGGCTGTTGGAATTTGATGGCACTGTGAAGGCCCTCAGTTATATTAAAATTTATTCCCCCTTCATAGTTAGATTTTTAGCTTTAAGTTAGGGAGAATCTTATTGCAGCTATCACGATCCAGTTTAATGTTCGGCTATGGAGCCATGTTTAAGGAGGGCAGTTTTGTAGCCAAAGGAGGGTAAATAATGCAGTGAGGAACTTGGAAGTTCCAAGGAATTCAACTTTTGAGTCACCCAATGAAAACGGATGTCTTAAGGTTAGAGCTATGCAGCCTTGAAGTGAGCTACTCTGGAAGACATAAATTCCAGTATTGGCGGTGATTAAGGTGTCACAAGATGATGTTGGATAAGGAACTTCTGAAGTAAACATGCACAGAGGGTACTCCAGAGCTCTATAGCAACTCCAGAATTCTTGGGGCTTTAGGGGTATCAGTTTTATAGCCTGAAGAACTCTACCCTACAAGTGTTAAGAAAGGTGTTTTATTTCATTTCTTTAAAAGTAACTTTTAAGTCGGGCACACCTGTAATCCTAGGTATTTGGGGTTTGGAAGATCATTGTTTGATGCCACCCTAGGCAAATAGTTTTTGAGAACCCCCCCATCTCAACTAATAGCTGGACTGGATGGTGCACTTTTGTCATCCCAGTGATGGTAGGAATCTTAAAACAGGAGGATGGAGGTCCAGGTCAGCTTAAGCAAAAAGCAAAAGCCTATCTCTAGAGTAACTAGAGCAAAAAGAGCTAAAGGTATGGCTCAAGCAGTATAGCACCTGCCTTGTAAGTGCGAAGCCCTGAGTTCAAGCCCCAGCACCGCCTAAAAATGTTTTAAAAATAAAAGGAACTTTTAAAAGATCAGTAATGGAACCCTCATCCATACTGAGCAGTGAATATAGAAGACCCAGAAAGAACAAAGTGGCTATTTAGGCAGAGAGACCAAGAGTTCTCAGTCAGTGACTGTTTTCAGGAGACACTATTTAAATATGCTGTGATGCATGATGGGGCACTTTCGGATTCTGCCACTGGAACTGCCCTGTTTGGACGCCATCCCATGACCTAAAAATGTGAATTTGCTGACATGGCTACCAATGTGGAGCCTGCTCAGTTCTCTGCTTTTCACCCCTGGGTATATCAGAGAAAGCTATGAAACAGTTTTAGTCCCAAGAACATGAGCAAAACAGCTGAAGATGAAGCAGTCCAGAGCAGTTGCATCTGGTGGATGAGAGGCCAGGAAGGAGAAGGGTGACTGAGAGCCAGAGTGAGTCTGGATTTGCTATGAGCTTTTACAGGTAGGCAAGACTGGAGTAGCCAAGAGTAAAAGGATTTCTAGGCTAGGAGAACACTGTGGCAAAAGATTCAAAGACAGGCAGACAGTGTATTCAAGATAAATGGGAAAACAAATCTGAATGAGCAGAAGGTCAAGTAAGTAGCAGTCCTTTGTGGCCCCTTCTAGCGATTGTATGCTTGGAGAAAGCTCTTAATTAACTCATTGGTTCAAGGTCAAAATCACTAAGACACAGCCAGCCTACCTGAGGGGTTTCCAGTACTGGACTGGCTGTCCCCTTTCTGCCTAAGATTGTGCCCTAGAAACCACCATTGTTTTAGAGCACTCCCTTTAGCTCTGTGCAATAGTTGAGGACCTGCCACAGATGTGTGTGGCAGCTGCTGTTGTGTGAAGAAACTCACTGAGATAAAAAACGGGGATCTGGGGGGGCTTCCTTTCTTACAGATGAAGGACTCACTCATCAATCTTCAAAATGGCATCAGGTCCCGAGACTACACATCTGAAAGTGATGAAAAGAGGAACCGCTATCATTGATGAGGCAGGAACAGCAGTTGCAAGAGGCCTGTGCAATACATGTACATAGACCCTATAAATATATATAAATATATATATATACAGAATATAAATATATATTATATACAGATTTTAAAAAAGAGATAATGCCTATGTACCAGGGAGAAGGAGCGGGATCTCCCGCCCCCTGTGCCGGCCAGAGCAGCATTTTCCCTTGGTGGAGGGGCCGAGGAGGGCAGGGACCACCTCTCAGCACCAACCTCCCTTGCTCCGCCTCCTGTCCTCTGTTCCTCACCCTTTCCTTGCTGACTACTCCTGGCTCTTAGAAGGGAAATGATGCTGAGTCAGTTAGGCCTGTGAAGACCCTCGGGTCCTTAAAGAAGTCTCAAGGGGGCATCGCTTAAGGTGCTTCATTCCCTAATCCCCTTTTGGTTTGTTTCCAAAATAAAAGAGAACCTGTTCATCCCCAACCCACACTTCCCCAGGCATTCTCTTGGGAATACTGAAGCATAGAGGGCAGGAGCCCAATCCAAACTCACCCCTCCCTCCAAGAGGCCATTGATGGGGATTGTGCTGGGAGCCAGGTGGAGAGGACTATGACAAGCTAGCAAGGATGCATTTGTGGACTTGGGCTTTGGAGCTGCAGCTCCCAAGCACTTGTGATATGAAGGGCTTTCTCCTCAGCCACCCCTGCACCTTGCTGTGACCTGGGTAGGGAGTGGACACAGTAAGGGCTGGGAATTTCTAATTCTCCCAGCCTCTTTCTCTCTGGTCTTCTCCCAGGCTGGATCTGGGGGAAGTGTCATTTTTTAGTGCCTAAAGTCCTATTGTTTCTCTGTGCCCTAAGAGCACATTGTTTATTAGCCAGGGTGGAGTATTTTTGACTTGTAAAAACTCCTTTTAGTGGTTATAAATAAGTCAAATCTGTGGCTCTAATTCCTTCCCTTTGAGCTGTGAGTTTGATTTCCAGGATGAATCAGGGTGTCCTAGGCCCTCCAGGGTTAGAGAGGAAGGGAAGGAGGGAGGGGGGAAAGGAGGGGAGAGAGAGGGAGAGAGGGAGAGAGACAAACCTAGCAACATATGTTTTTCAAGATCTGTCCCAGAATCCTGTGTGAACAGTGAGTGCCGTAGCCAGTCAGGAGGTTGCCAGCATCATTTGTTCTTAGGAGAGATTCAACTTCAGCAGTGGAGACAATTGTCTTGAGATACTTCATGTGGCAGATCGTCCAAGCCATTGGGGGGAAGGATTTGGCACAGGTGCATGTGTTTGGGCAGAAAAAGGCCAGACAGAATCTGTGCTCCCACCAAGGCCATTCCAGTCCTGACCTTCTCAGGTTTGGAAGTGGGATTCTGGTGGGGCATGTGTGTATATGTACAAATCCTTCTGTGATCTCTGGCCCCAGAGAGGTATACGGTCACTAAGGAGTAGAAGAAAGATGCTCGGTTAGGAGCATGAACCAGCCAGGGCCTTTTCAGGGTTGGTCTGCTAGGACCCACACTTCCATCCAGTCTTGTGGAACTATTCTGGGCATGTTCTTCATCCGTCATACACTAACTACTGTTTCTACATATGATAACCAAAGGAATCCAGCCAACCCCAGGCAGGGCTCATGGAGATCATTGATTAGTAAAGAACCTCGGCCAGTCTGACAAGGAGAGCTCTCCGAACTTGCTTCTTCTCTTGGGCTTCCCTACACAAGGAGCAGAAGGAACCCAGAATATCAGCATAAAGGAAGGAAGATGTTATCAGTGATCTGTCCCAAAGATTAAGTTACATTCTTTTCTAAGAATGACCCAAACATACCATTTTGGCAATTAAAGAAAAGGCTTTAATCTTTTTGGTCTATTGAGAATTAGGTCTTGATATTTCCCTGAAGGCAGAATCAGAAAATAGGCAGAAACATGCCTGGGTCATCTCCCAAGGGAGAATGAGAAGGCTCCAGATGGCCAGCTAATATTGATATCCCTCCCCTAGAGAAGCAGAAGTGAGGAATTAATTCATTGTAAACCTTTTGAAGGGTGTCTGTGCCCAAAGACAAGCTGATTGTCACGCAGTTCTTGTCCAGGACATTGAACAAGAGTCTCTGGTGAGAATTAAGACCCATGAGCCCCAAGCCAATGAAGAAGGAATAGTGCAGTTGCTAGACAGTTACCCCTTGGAGTAACCAGGAGTCAAAAGCATTCCTAAAACATTTGAAAGCAAAAATTGGGAATTCTCAAATTTATTGCGCACGTGCACGCACACACACGTAAGTTTAATTACTAAAGGTCCTTTGGGTCCTTTAGGATGGCTTAAAAGGGGTTCATTCCTGGGAATGAAGTAACAAAAGTATTCCTGACCAGAAAGTTGCGCTGTTTTTGCTTGACTTTCTGGGATCATCAAAGATGAGTGAGTGAGAAGAAGGGATACTTAAGGTGTCAGAGGAAGCCTCCTGTTTTCTGGTAATTTGAGCCCAGTATATGATGTATACATATAGGGGATGTCTCCTAAAAATCATGAGCTCACTTTGTTCTAAAAATTATTCTGGCTTTTTTTGTGGTGCTGGGAAGTTAGACCAGAGACTGGCAAGACTGGGCTTTCTCAGATTTCAAAGGTGCCCTGCCAGGAGGGCACAGCCTTCTGGGATAGAGCTTCTCTGGTATTTAGTAGGCGGTAGGGAAGTGGTGGAATGCCTGGAAACCCAGGGTAGTTAAACTTTGTTCTTAAGAGTTTGGAGGGCTAGAGAGGCCCAGTGGCAGAGAGAATGTTGCTCAGCGTTAACCTAGGAGGGTGTTGCTTCTTTCTTTGACCTAGTTTTAGTTTGGGAAGGAACTTCCTTTGGACTTTCTCTAAACTAGGAAGAGGAGGATATGGCAAGCACACTGCATTTTGAAGTGAGCCCATCTTTTACCTGTAGACACTGTAAAGCCTTTTGTCTATCCATCCTTCCTCATCAACAGAGGACACAGTGGAGAAAAGCTATTCCTAGTTCTAGCATTTCTCTTTTGGCTCAGCCAAACAAACCTGTTGGGGTTTGGATGACATGGAGTTTGGGCTAAAATCCCTTGGGTTGGCTTAGGACACTGGCTTTATGAACCTGGAATTACAAACAATAGTGAGGACCAGGAGACCTCAAGAGGAATGTTTTGCCAGACGTGAACTCTCTCCCTGTCCCTAGTTCTCATCCGTGCTGGCACTGTACCTGTTACATTCACAGGCAGCACCTGTAGGATGGGTCTTGGAGAAATGACTGACTAGTTGAAGAAGGCTTCTGAACTGTTTATGGTTCCAGAAGGGCCCTTTCTGTGCCATTCCATGCCAATGCCAGCCCTTCTCACTAGGTCCCCAGGAGAAATAGCAGTCTTTTTCCCTTTCCCCACGAGACAAGGTTATGGTATCCCTCCCTCCACTCCTGGACTCTGCATACCCACTCCAGTAGAAATCTCAAGGACCTCTTCCTGACTCTGTTCCCCCCTCCCCAATCTCTGGACTGTAGGACAATCATCCCATTTTCCCCTTGCCATCCTCGATCCTCATCCCCCAACCTCCAGCAGGCTGGCCCCACTCCCCTCCACCTCCATGTCTTCTTCCAGAAGATGCATTCTGGGTCCAAGAGGAGTGTTTCTCTGGAAGGCCATCTTTCAATACCCCTGCTTTCCTGATGTGGAGCAGGAATTTGCACATGGTGTAGAGAGCTCCTTCTCCCACCTCTCTGCCCAGCCTCGTTACCTCACTCCTGCTCTGGCCATGGCTGTGTTGGGCCCAGCCAGCTCCCTGTTTTGATGTTCTGTGCGACAGCTCAGGGGTCTTGTGACTTGAGGTCCTCAGCAGGCCTGGGAGCCCGGATTGGATTCTTGCCTGCCAAGATTTGCTGATGCCAGACGATCTCCCCAACATATGAAGACTTGAAGGACATGGTCATCTCTACCCCATGGTCCTTGCTTCTCTCAACACAGTAAGACATTGCAGAAGCGAAGTGTCGTGACAGCCTGTGCCCCAGGCAGGACAGCTGACCATCTGGGGAATTGGCCATTAGCTTTGAGTGCGGTGTGTGGAGATTGCACAGTAAAAACAATATTTGCCAACAAGAATGTGTGGCACCGCACATTTCCCTACCTTGCACTCTAGAGCCAGACCACTCTCTGCATGGACCAGACCATCTTCCCAAACCCATGGTGCTTTTTTCCCCCTTACTCAACCTATACTCCAAAGTGGGGAGGGATGGATCAGAGGCCATAGTGGCCCCTGGACAATCCTGGTAGAGTGGGGTGAGGCAGAGGGAGTAGCCCCCAACACCTGCACTGGGCTATATTTGGGAAAGAACACAGGTTGATTGCAGTTGACTTGTCTGGCTGTCTGTATTTCGATCTATAACTGTACTTTGCCTGGCGCTGTGCGCAAGGTCTGAAAACTTACTGCTAGTATCTAGAAACATACAAGGCTACCCAACCGAATCTTGATGTAAAGTAGCTAGAGCCATGGAAGTACAGTATGAATTAAAAGAAAAAAAGTATTGAATCACAAATAATAAATGGTGTGTGTGTTTATTGCTTGGTCTAACAGTGCTCATCATATTCCCAGAAATACTCACAACCAGTCCTGAAGGCTGTGCAAGCGTGCTTGTACATGCATAGCCCTCTATCCCAGGGGATGGAGGCAGCCCAGTCAACCGGAATGGATAAATTTTGGAATCAGACTTCAGTACAGTCTGCAGCATCATTATTTAACAGCACTGTGGCTTTGAGCCCCCATCTGTCACCCCAGTCTTCAGTGTTTTAGAGATACGATTTAAAAAAAAATAGTACACCTATATCTCTTAGTATGATAGCTGGTATTGAACTAAGATGACTTTTAACCTCAATCAGGAGCCGTGACAGGCTGAATCCTAATAGTTTCTTGCACTTTTTCTCTTTGGGGGATCTTGGTGCTTCTGGGAAGATAAATATTGGGGGAGAGCTTTGCTTTATAGTCTTATATGCTGCCTCAAGTGATACAGCTGAGAGCCAGTTTTCTCCTCTTCCTTAGATCTTCCTTGCAGTTAGCCCCTCTCCCCGGTTTAGGAAACTTGTTTGATGCCAGGCAAGATAATAAGTTTCTCTAGTTCTTTTGTGTTAGTGTAGAGGAGGAAAGGGGAAAGGCAATCAATGCTAGATCACATATTTAGCATGCTTAATTCTAGACTATTAAGTGTGTTTTCCACTCGGTGTATCCACTGGGTGTAGGAAGTGACACAGATTGGGTGGTAGGTGGGAGCAGACACGTGGTAAGTAGAGCAAAACCAGAGACAGCAGTCTTTAGACACACTTTATTGACAGGAACAGGGAGTTTACTGAAAAAACACTGCATACAGGCATTAGGTTATTGAGGGCTTGGATGGTGAGTAACAACATTTCTAGGGTTCAGAAAATCAAAAGTGTAATATGAAGGTGGCAATGTTGAAAAGAGTTCCATCTGTCACAAGACCACGAGTTTGCTGAGTTTGAGGTTTGTTTCACAAACGGGCGCTCATCCTTCATTGGCTTCCCTCCCAATCACACATACTGTCCATCAGATACCGCTCTTGCCCAGTGGTGACACAGAGAGAAAGGACAAAGCAATACTGGCTCTTCAGTGCAACTGGCCTGTGACAGATTGAGTCTGATCTGTAACTCAATTAGAGAGATGAGTAACTTCTCTACTGAGACCTTCTATAAACTCAGAGTTTATAGTGGGGCTGAACTAAGCATGAGGTATCTACGACGTTAACTTTTAAAGATTAAGTAAGTCTTGGATGATGCTGTTTTTTCAAACCTAAGAGCACAGGATCTGTTTATGGTATAGGCTAGGGCTTAACCTAGAGTGGGCACTAGACAGTGTAGAGTGACTGGATGACCAGGTTGATGAGCAAGCACACCAATTACTATTTGAATACATTTGCAGTGACTAGGTGAATTCTATGTGATAGGGCCTTCTCATTTACAAAATGATGTAAGAGAGGAAGGGGTGTGTGTGTGTGTGTGTGTGTATGTGTGTATGTTTCCTGTTTTCCCATATCCATGTGAAGCTAGGGAAGGATCAAAAGTATATTTGAAATGTGTCTGGTTCTTGCTTCTCCTCCCTGCATTGGTGCAATCATAACACTTTCCCTCTGATTTATTGATTTATGTAAGAAAGTAGATTTACAGACTCTTAGGTGCATTTTTTTCTTTTCTTTCTCCTTCCTTTTTATGTATTTATTTTCGAAGCAGTGTCTCATTCTGTTGCCCAGGCTATTCTCTTAACTTGTGGACTCAAGTGACCCTCCTGCCTCAGCTTCCCAGTTAGCGAGGACTACTGGCATACACCACTTTGCCTGACTTATATTTTATTTTTTAATGTAATAGTTTGGGGAGATGAGGAGGGAGCTACTGTGTCCTCTTAATCACTCACTGCTTACTTTATACATTTCCCAGCATATTCTTGCTTTGGAAAATTTCTTTTTCTACTACTTCTAGATTGATAGCTAAGGCAAAACCAGAAACTCAGAAGAATGTCTGGATGTACAGTGTTTGGGGATGGAGAAACCAAAGAATAATGCTGTTTGACTGTGAAAATGAAGGATAGAGACAGGCTTTCCAAGTATTTCCACTTAAAGTTTGAGGCTTTGATAAAAGACTGAGCTGACAGTAAGGGTTAACAGTGCAAGGTGCTTTCAGAACCAACTAAGTTGAGTAAGTAAGTTCATGGCTTTTGAGCAGTAAGAAAGGAAAAGTCAGACCCAGCTTAGTCTGGCCTTTAGTGAATTGTGTTATTGAGGATCGGCCATGGGAAATATCCAGCACCAAGACAACAGATGGGGTTTCTAAATGATTATAGCCCTTGAGAACTCTTCTAAGCCCTTTAATAAGTAACAGCATGCCAAATAAAGCTTCCAGAGCTACACACATTTAGTGTGGATCTTGTACAAGTATATGGGGAGAGACAGGAAGATGAGTGAAGATTTTAAGTAGGCTGGTGATCACAGTATCTTGTAGATTTATAGACATTATCAAGTCTCCCAGGAAGGAGTTTAATTACAATTACAATTCTGGGGAAATAATGTTGTATAAACCAACTACACAGAGAACTAAAATGGGATGAACTCTTACAGCATGTTTCTAGCATCCACCCAGAATCAAAGTGTTAGGAAGCAGGAGAGTGGGATTAGGGCTAAGAAGGGATGATGAACTTCAGGACAAACAAGAGAGTAAGAGAGCTGGATGGAAATTATAAAAAAAAGAAGAAGAAGAAAGGATGCAGCGATGCTTTAGGTGGGAAGCAAATTGGGATGGAGGTCAGAACACTTGGGTTCTAGATCTCCACTGATGATTTAGCAAAGCCCCAGTTTCTTCATTGTTTAACACTGTTAGTAACATCCAACTCACTGGACCAGTTGTGGAGAAGAAGTAAAATAATCAAAATGAAGATGCTTTGCAAGCCATATACCTCTAATGAAACTATTAAGGATGAGAAGTTAGAAAAAAGGAAAGATAACTTGGACAAAATGATGGGTATCATTCAACTTCATTAAATATCTGGGTTCGTTTTTAAAAAAGAAAAAAGAGAAAAAGTCAATCATGCATACCACCTGGTTACAAGTTAGATGCATGGTCCACTAGAACCAAGAGAAAGTGGAGTGGACATGTCTTCTACTGCTGCAAGGCCTGGTATCAGCCAGCCTGTGACTGTGTAAACCTCACACTAAGTACTATTTTCCCACTATAAAGTAAGAAAAATGTTCTACATTATCTTCCCTATTTCAGAAATGGTGTGGAAAATCATCAACAAGGGTCTTGAATTTATTGCAAATATTTTCTTCAACAAAATCAGACTCTTCAATATGTGTTAAGGGTCTTGTTTCAATTCTGTCCCCACGGATGGAAGAGATGAAAAAAAAATTAGCTTGTCAGGTGGCTCCCAAAGTTAATTTTTGTCTTTTGTGTAAATCTCCCTAGATCTGAGGGGCATCACTCTTAACTAAATCTCAGTCACTTTCATCTTATATCCCTTAAAACCTCCTTCCCTCTCTTACCACCAGTGCTGAAGGACACTGCACCTGGGCCAGTCACTAAATTAAAGTGAACATGAGATATTAACTAAGTATTTCCCGCTGTTTCTCTACTCTCTTAAAGTCTAAGAAAAAATACCTGAACATTACAGGTTTATAGGTGAGGTATTCGGAAGCCACCTTCCCATCTGTTCCCTGTCTTGTTGATCATCATCCATCTCAGACTAAACATCTTTTTTCTTAGTTTCAATATCATTCTCTGATGCCATCTCCTTTCCAGATTCACAGCTCTTTAAAGGAAATTCTTTAGGTCTAGCTCATGTCCTCTCTGCTTTCTTGGCCAGTTTTTAGTTCCCAAAATCTATCATAGTTAACCTCAGTTGGGTCATCCCCCCCCCAAATCTGTGCTTGTGCAAGACGCATGGCTACAGCCAAGCTGAATGTCACAGTCTTTTCAAAAACAAGATTATCCATCCCAGGGATTGTAAACTGGGCAGCTTCCAAAGGTTGTCTCCACTCCAGTTTGTCCTGTTAAGTTTCTTACTCAGTCGAGCCCTGTATGAGCCTCAGTTACCTTCTGTAAAATAAGGAATAATACTGATCCACAGACATTTTGAAAGGAAGAACTTAGGATTTCAGTCTCAGTGCCCACGTGATGTTCTCACTAGGAAGGATACACATAATCCCAGTAAAATCAGGAATATGCTGTAGGATTTATAAGAGCTTAAATTACCACTGATCTTCCCACACCTCTTGTCCTTGTCTTCTTGGAAGTACAGGGTTCAGTCCAGGCCTTAAAGACCTTTGGGGATCTAGCCATGGAGTACTAAGCTCCAGAGAGAATTTTAGTCCATGTTTACAGAAGGATCTTTCTCACTGGAGAACCTAGAGAGGCATGCTTCTCTCTGGTGCTCTAGCCAAGTGGGCCATGAAGTTGGAGAACTGACTTCAAAAAGTCCCAAGTACATGACTTGCTTTTGCTTTAACCTGAACTAATCATTGCTTCCTTCCAGTAAGACATTCATTCTCTTGCAGCAAGGTAGAATAAGCTGAGTCCAGTCAGGGGCAGAAGGAGGTGCTACTTCCAACCCTTCTACAAGATCATTTGGAGCCCAGAGGAGAAATCCAGTTGGCAAGTGAGCTGCTTGCTTGAAAGCTAGGACAGGGTGAGGGTTTGAGTCCACGTTGAATGTTGGCTCCTCAGTTCTGGCAAAATCATGATGTGTAGAGTTCTGATGGAGTTAGGAAGTCGAGGTGAAAGCTAGGAGGTGGGTGGCTGTGTGATGAATGAATAGAAGGATGAATGAAGGACAGGAATCAATGGGGCCCTTGGGGCACCTTCTGATGCTGTTGACTTCACTGAACTGGGATATCCAGTCCCTCAATGTTGAGTCCACTTACCAATGACAAAAGAGCTCACTGAGAATTTCTAGCCCAGTCCAATCCAAATACACTGACCAAAGAGGGAGTGGACAAGGAGATTAGGTTGTCCCAATACTCAGGTCAAAGTAATTCACCTTCTGAAGGACTTGGCATAGTACAGTGCTCTGTGACTTGAGCATCAACTTAAATATCCATAAGGTGGGGATGCTGGGAAGAATAGGTATTGATCTAAGGAACCGAATTTAAAGTCACTTCAGTTGTATGTGACAAGATACTTGTACAACCTGCCATCCACATCCAGCACCCCTCCCAAGTCCCTGTACATCACCTCAAGCCACACCACTTCTCTTCTATTCCTCCACAGGTACTGCAGAGTTCTCCTTGTTCTCTGATGGGATGGCAAGGTAGTCAGACCTATAGAGTGTGTGGGAGGGGGAAGAAAACCAGTGCTTCAGTACACAATAGAAGCAGCAGATGGAAAAGGAAGGAGCAGAGCACAAGGACAAGGCAGTCAACATACAAAGCAACTCTGTATTTCCTTCTGGTTGTGTTTCCCAAGACAAAACTAGAATGTCCTTTTTAGCAGATTAGAATAATGGACCCTTCTCATATTTGTATAGGAACAGTCCCACCAGCAGTGTCTGAGTCTTCTCATTTAGCCACACTGTCTTTAGGTCTTTGTATTTTTAGATTAAAATATTGGCCAAAGTGAATGGGTATGAAATGATATTTTACAGTTGCTCTGGTTTTCATTTCCCTGAGTACTGGTGAGGTTGAATGATTTTTCATGTGCTTATAGACTATTTGGGTTTCTACTTCTGAAATTTGTTCATTTGCTTTTCCAGTTTTTGTTTTGAGGTATTTGTCTTTTTCTCATTAATTTTTCTTTGTTGGTGTCGGTTCTTGAATTTTTTTTCTTACGGATTCTTGCAACGAACAATTGATTTTTATATATGATGTAATAAAATGATCATTTTTCCTCCTTGATTTGTACTTCTTGTATTTGAAGGAATATTCTCCATTCCCAAGCAATTTTATATTCCCTTCATAGAATTTTCAGGTTTTACATTTTACTTTTTAAATTTACGCACAATTTCTTTTTGTTTCGTGTGAGAGATGGGGAATCTAATTTCATTTGTTCCTACAGTGTCACATACTCTGTACACTGATTGCTGTATTAGAACTCTTCACCTTTGAGAAGACAAATCTTACTAGCCACCTCTTCCAGTTTTAATGTTTTTTATTAATATGGCTTAGACCAGGGGTGGCTACAAGCTAAGAATAATTATTACTTGTTTAAAGTGTGATACAACACTGAGTAGAAGTTGGGAGAGGTGCTGTCCTTGACATACTTCTAACATTGCAGGCATTTCTCCCAAGTTTCAACAACACAGATAATGTCTTCCTTAAGCTATCTTAGTAGCCACCGTTTAAAGGGAGTTTGTGTTTAGATACAGGTTTATTGATTTATTCCACCCAGGACATAGAGACACTCCTTGACTTATGATGGGGTTACATTCTCATAAATGGTGGAAATGCATTTAATATACCTAATCTATCAACACAGTATACTATAGCGTGATCTCATGGCTGACTAGACGCTGCGGCTTGCAGTTGCTGTCCAACATTGGGAAGAGAGCACACTTCTTCATATTGCTAGTCTAGGAGAAAAAAATTGAAATCCAAAATTTGAAGTAATTTCTACTGAATGCATATTGCTCTCACATCACCATTAAAGTCAAAAAATCATAAGTTGAGTCATTATAAGTAGGGGACCATCTGCATCATGTTTATACTTTATCTTAACCTAAAGGCCGAGAAGCAATACATCATGCTTCTTGAATGTGAAATCATTCCTTCTCTGAATCGTTGTACTCTGAGCACAGGTGTTACCTCTCCTCCATTCTATTCTAATGAATCATCTCATTGCTCTCCTTCCTTCCTTTCCTTTTTTGTGTTTTATCTTTTTTTTATCTCATGCTTCATTCTGAGTAACTTCTTTACATTTATTTATGCATACCAGCATCTAATCTTCTGCTGAACCAGACCACTGAGTATTTTATTAACTATATTTTTCATTTCCAGAAGGTTTTTTTTTTTGCTCCTATTCAGTTCTGCCTGTTCTTTTCTCTTAACAATTTATTCTTATATTTCATGTTCCTTTTTAAATTGCTTTAACTATTCGATTTTATTTTTTATGTGGTGCTGGGGATCAAACCCAGGGCCTCACACAGCAAGGTATTAACTTTACCACTGAACTACTTCCCCAGCACTGCTTTAGCCACTTTATAAATAAGCTTATTTTTTAAAAACACATTATTAGGGCTTTCTTATGGCTGAACCTCATCCTGCTATTTCCTACTTCTGCTCTTGCTGGATTGTTTTCTCCAGTGACTTTAGTTTTTTGGTTGGATTGTGAAATTAGATGCTGCAGAAATTAGTCTGAGGAATCTTTTCAGGCCTTGGCTGAGAGCTGGTTCCTTCATAAGGGTTTTTCATTTGTTTCTATGACACTATGACACTAACCCTGGCTGGGAACTAGTTTTTAAATTAAATTTCTCAGCTTAGAATTTCCTTGATAATGTGAGTAGTATCAATTTATACCCAAAATATTATTAAACAAGAGCAGGCTTGTGGTTACTAATTCTCAAGACTTTTTTTTTTTTTTTACTTGAAATCAAGGTAACTTTTCTTGGTTCTTCCCCTGGTCTATCCTTTATGTGAGTGGTATCCCTCTGGGGATTCTGGCTCTACTAGGGGCCTTACTTCTACTGCTGTTTCTTACGGGTGCCCAATCATAAGTACTTCCTATCCAAACCTGAATATTTCCTGTCGAAGTATTGGCACTTCGTGTCCAAGCATGAGCACTTCCTGTCTGCACACTGAAATCCAAGCAACTAAGTCACTAGGAATTAAAATTTTCTTCAGCATTAACACTTTGTTGTGTCTTCGTATATGGTCAGTTGTAATTTTTTTTTACTTCCCTGGGATCATAGGAATCATGCAAAATGAGGTTTTCTTTATCAAACATTTTCCAGATGATAATAGCCTTAGATTTTTACATTATTGCCTTAGCAATGTTGCTAGAAATCTGTGAGGGTTTTTTAAAATGTTAATAGGCCAGCATGGTCTTTTAGACCATTATTTTTCACATGTGCTCATTCTTGAGTAACTAGGACTTGGTGAATGTGGGGAAGGCGCAAGCTAGATATTCAAAGATAAGAGCCCCTAAATTAGGGTATTCAATTGCTGCCAAGGTCTAGGGAAGGAACTTGTTGCTTGGAGTTCCTTATCTAAGAAAGGGCAGTACCCAGGCGGGCTGATTTGCTCCATGATATGGGGCAAACAGCTGGCCACAGCGGAAAGAACATGGATGTTAGAAATAGGCGTTGGAGAAATCCCAGTTTCCTTGGAGAAATCCAAGACGAGCCGCTTAACCTCTGTGAGCCAACGGATATGATAATGCTAACTTCCTGGGTTGTGGTGGTAGCCATGGTCTTTGCCCCCGTAGTTAAATGTGCAGGCCAAGAGACAGTAGGCCTTTATTTGCTAATACAACAACAGCATTGGGAAAACTCTTCCAGACCTACTATGTTTATCTGTAAAATGGGGTATAATCATCTTATGTGCTTCATAGGTGCTTCTAAAGAGAAATGGAAAAGGTGTAAATGAATTGTTTAACACCTAACCTCTAAGAGCAAGCATTTTGAAGGTGCAAACTATCGTTATTACTTTGGTACCTTTGAACTTACGCGCTTTCTTGGGCTGCCTCTTCAGCCTTTGAGACCTTTCTGTAGCAATATATCATCTCAATGAGCAGCCACAAGGTGAGGAAGACCAGGAGGATGTACATCATGATTTCTGAGACCACGGAGGTGAAGTCTTCTCCAGCTGCAAGGAGGAGAATGAGGTTCAAAATGTGTGTGACCCAGAGCTGTCATTGGGCCACAGACATATGAAGCCTATTTCAAAGTATGACTTAAATAATCACTGAGTCTAAGGGAACTCAAGAAGATGTCAAAGGAATGTCATATTCTCTGATTCTCCTGTCAGTTTCCTCACTAACTTTCATTGGATGGATCATTCCGGAAACAGGGATGAGGGAGAGTGATGAGTGGAAGAAGCAGAGCAGCAAAAGGAATCCTGGACTACATATAAATAATCAGGTCCTAATTATGCTACTTACTGGTATGTAAATAGACATTTTTAAGAATGTCTTGTGTAGCCCAGGGGTACATGAGCTACACATGCTTGCCTAACATAGGTGAATCCCTGAATTCAATCCTCAGCAGTACAAAAAAAATTTTTAAGTATATCTGTTGAGATGTAAAGGTCTACACAGATGTATGGAGAGGACCTTATTTCAGGTTGTGGAAATGGTGTCTCCAGGGAGAAAACACTGGAAAATTGGTGCAGAATCACTATGGTCAGCCCACCCAGTGATAAAAGCATGTTCTCTAGTAAGCTCAATGAGAAATGAGGATGTTCCAGGTCACACCAAACCCAAGTATATTTGAGAATTGGAGGATCCAGACTGTCCTCAGAGTTCTACTTCTGAAACACAAATGAGATCTTGCATCTTCAGCCATACCACCCTGAGTGGTACCACCCTCAGATGCTAAGCAGGGTCAGGCCTAGTTAGTACTCAGATGGGAGATCCTGCTACTTCCTTGCTAAAAATCCTTCAGTGTTCCCTGCTGCCCCAGGATGAAGCCCAAACTCTGCTGATATGATATACATGGTCCTTCACAATCCATCTGTTCTATTTGGTTGACCAGAGAACTTCTCTGTACACATACAGTGGTATTTTAGACTCTCTGGGTGTTTCTTCTGTCCCTTCTCCCTTCCTGAATTGTATGTCCCACCCACTGCTTCCTCTGTCCCAGAAACTTCTCCTGCTTTTCATTCTCACAAGAGTTCTCATAGACATCACTGAGATCCCCTCTATTATGAAACTTTCCTCAGCTTCTCATGCAGTGTAATTCCATCCTTGCTCATGCACATTTTTCATCCATCTGTTACAACCATTCTTAGGTTGAACTGTGATATGTTTCCATCTTTTCTACTCACTTCGTACTTATCAAAAACATATTTATTTCTTAATTATCAGCCTTCTGTGTCTTCCTGGAATATTTGAGGTACTCGATAAGCATGTATTGAATGAATGACTATAAATAAGTATTGATGTTTGCTTCATGAGCAACAAAAACAACAAAACATGATATATGCAAATGTCCTGATAGTATATATATATTCCTTCCTAGAGGAAGGAAGGTTGTTAGCCACCAGTTCCCTTGACAGTTCCCACCAGCAAATTAGATTCATAGTCTGCACTTAGTAAAGGACCCAAGTCATCCTTAAGACTTTGCTTGTTAAAAATACAGCAATGATCTTCAGCCATAACCTTCAGCTCAGAGAAGCGGTCCAAACTTTCTTAACTGGACCTAGAGGTCATAGATGCAGCTTGAAATATATAAGAATGCCACATGCCACAACCATCTTCTCATGGGCCTGAAACACTGGTGTGATAATTTGGCTAAAAGCATGCTATCGCCTTTTAGATGCAGTAAACAGGAAAAGGTAATACAGGAAACTTTTCAGTATTTCTAGTCCCCTTCAGGTGAAGAGGCCTCAGATTTCTGTCTAGAGCCAGGAAAAATCCAGCTTGAACAAAGAAAACCAGGCATGTTCTCTGGAACCACAGAAAGAAGGAAATGAGGCATGTGTCACAATGGAGTGTGTACTTCTGAGTAACATGAAGGCAGTGAGCGGGGAGGGCTTCCAAGGGATCACAGAGGCAACAAGGAACAGAAGAAAAACAAAAAGTGGCACATGGTAGAGATGGTGGTAGAAGGAAGATACGCAATGGGTAAGGAAAGAGATGACTTGACGAGCAAAAGATTTGGGTTTTAGTCCTGCTTCTCCTGCCACTTCATATCTCTAGGCAAGTCTCTTCCTGTTGTGGAGCTCTGTTCTCCCAGTCACAAAAAATGGCCACCAGACCTGCACCCTCCAACTACCCAGGGGGGAGATAGTTCATATTACACATGCAGATCTTACCCCAAGCTTACTGATCTTACTCCTCCAAGTGTGGTCTCAAGAGAGCCTGCCTAGATTAAAAACTACCCAAGCTTCTTTCCAGCCCTATCATCTCCATGGTGGCTCTGCTATGGGTTTTAATAACAACTTTGTTTTTCCTTCTCTTCTTATGATGCTTGCTCTGGTGCCCAAGAGGCGGGTGAGCTCAGCTTTGCCACAATTCTCCACCAGTTGTGCCCCCCAAGGGTCTCTGGAGAAAACAGGCTGAGAGAGCAGGAGGAGGAGACAGCTGGGCACCTTCCTGGAGTCTGGCAGGCACCAGCCAACAGTTTGTGATGGTGAACAGGAGAGGGCGCAAGACTACCTTCCCCAGGGAGGAAAGGGCATAAACAGAAGCAAGTAATGGAACTTTTGAAGAGATGCATGCCCCAGAGAGCTTCCCATCCAACCCCTGTGTTTCTTACTAGAGGTGCAGGGCTCAGAAAGAGGAAGTGACTCATCTGGCCTTGATTCAGGTGGCCTGAGTGTTACGCACTTTCAAAATAGACCCACCTTCCACTTTCCTCATAGTGTCTCTCTGCCATTCATGCCCAAGCCTCAATAATCTTCACATCATTATTTTTATCATGGTGACATTAAAAAAAAAAAAATCAGTTGTGTATCCTGGAAGTTAGGATTCCTGAATCCCTTCTCTAGGAAGAGCTCTGTCTTTAATTTGACCTCGTCATTCATGCCCCACACCATTGGCTGCTCACCATCCTGCATTTGAGGGCAGCTATAATGTTAAGAACATGGTGGAAATAGAGTCTGAAAAAGGCTAAATGAAGTGGCATGGTGGTTTAGCCTGGATAAAAAACACAAAGGGAGATGCATGTATCACATTCTGACATGTGAAGAATGTTTTCAAAGAGCTGTGAGCCACAATTCTCTAAGCCTATTGACTACAGCACAAAAGTAGAATGTGAGGACCCTTGAAATTCCTCCAAGATTCTGGAATGAAATTGCAAGAAAAACATCCGAGTTAGGTAATTGGGAGGACTTTCCACTCAAAAGGAACAAACTGAAGCAGTCTGCGGATGTTAGAAACTAGAGAGTTATCAATTTGTCCCCTTCTCCCAGCTGAGAATGAATATGTGGAAAGAGATGCCCGAAATGGGTTGTATGACAAAAAAACTCATCTAATTTTGGTTCAAAGAGTGGTTCTCAAAATGGGGGTCCCAGAAAGATAACATTCCCTGGCTACTTGTCACACAGTAAAAATTTTATAGAATCAGAAAACATGTGTTCTGAAAAGTGCTGCAGGAAGGGCAGAGTGTGGTGACTTGTGTCTGTGATTCCAAGGAGGCAGAGATGGGAGAATCATGTTTACAGGCCAGCCTGGAAAAAAGTCAGTGAAATCCTTTCTCAAAAAATAAGTTGGGTGTGGTGGTGCACACTTACAATCCCAGTTAACATGGGAAGCTGAGGTAGGAAGATCACAGCATACAGCTGACCCTGCACAAAAATGAGATTCTATCTGAAAAATAAGCTATAGCAAAAAGGGCTGGGGCATGGTTCAAGTGGTAGAGCACTTGCCTATCAAGTGCAAAGCCCTGAGCTCAAACTCCAGTAAAACCAAAAATTTTTTCTAAAACCCTGCAGGAGACTTTGAGGTTTGCTGAATTTTAAGACCACTGGTTTTAAGGTGTATGTTGCTTACAAACAGGAAGGGAGAAAATTTCTAGATAACACTGTAAGATTTTTCTGGGTCACTGAGTTAAGAATATAACAAAGACCAGAGAAAAAGGCATCTCTGCATCATTATCTAGGCCTCATGGAGGCTGTCCTTTTTCTCTGGGGACCAGGAAGATGTCATCCTGCTATCTTCTCCAAGCCTCTCTCTTTGAGGAGAGTCAGAAAGGCAAGCTGGTCAGACAGTTTGCAAGAAACTGGCCGCTTAAGAAAGGCATGGGTTTTTGCACTATCCAAAGATCACATAAGGTGGAAACTTGCTGTCCTCCACCCTGCACCGGTGAAGAAGAGTATACCCCTGAGATCCATCAGCCTCACCTTCCTCTGTGACTCGGAGGGGGATGAGCCGTGTGGTCTTCACAAAGGGCCGATGCGCCTCAAATTCAAACTCCCGAGACACGTTGCAGGTGTAGAGGCCAGAGTCATTCAGAGTGACATTGAGCACGGTGATGGATACATCCTGCAGGTCCTTGCTCCCGTTCCACTGCAGACGCCCCTGGAAGGGGCTCTCCACCTCCTGGTGGCCATTGCGATACTCAAAGATCTGCAGGTAGAGGAGCAGAAGCAGGTAGAGCCAGAAGAGGAGGTAGGTAGGAGAGCAGGGATGGAGACAGGGCAGACAGAAGGAGTAGAATTTTACATGAAGGGGAAGCAAGGGGGAAGTCATACCAGGAGACCCAGAGTGTGGGGAATGGGTTAAAGAGGAGCAGGGAAGATAGTGAAAACAGAAAAAAGGCAGTGTCAGACATGTAGACATGATAAAGGGAGAGTTGGAAAGAGGCAGCAGGAAGAAGGTAGAAGGACGGAGAATAAAAGAAGGTGGTTGATGAATACAGGAGGCCAGGAGCAGGAAATTGAGAGAAAGAAGGGATTGGAAGGAGGTAAAGAGGGAGCACAGGAAAGACAGTAAGGTGTGTCATGGGGCGGCCAGTAAGGGAACAAAGTGCAGAGACCAAAACAACATCTCTGTTAGCAATGGAGACATCTGACAGCCTTGCCCTCAAAGCCTGGCTCTGAGCCATTAGCCACTGAGGAACTTTGGGGCAGCCTTGCCAGGCCATGGGAAGGGAATCCAGGATCCTGAACTGTGACCAATGGGCAGAGAGCTGCCAACTAAGAGGTGCCATACCAGGACTTTGTTCTGAGCTGAATTAGAACTGAAATCTGACTTCTTAAATTTCTTAAACACTTCCATCCTCTGACATAACACATTTTTTTTCTCTACAGCTGTGCTGTTCATTTTAGTCTCCACTAGCCACATGTGGCTACTGGAATTCAAATTCCTAGATATTAAAGGAGAAATTTGTTTCCTCAGTTGTACCTTCTCCTCGTCTTAGGCAGATGTGGAAATGTAGGCAGCTGGCACATGACCAAGCTTGAGGCCCACATTCACATCTGGCCAAGACCTCCAGCCTGCTGTAGACTGGATATCAGCCTCAGCTGCTGCTTCACTGATTCATCACTATCAAGCCTGAGCCAGGCTCTGGGAAGTCTCTGCTGGTCCCCAACTTGGCACCTGACTGGAGCCAAACTGCACCAAAATGGTACATAGAACCTAGAGTTAGAAATGAGCTCAGCTCTAGAAAATGCTAGAAAGAAGAGCAGGTGAAAGTCAGTTTCACCTTGCCGTTGTCCTTGTAAGTGTCTTTATATGTAGAGGAGAAACGTGCTCTCGGGAAGGCAAGGTGAGTCAGTCAAATGGCCTTGGATCTGCTCAAAACTAAGCCCACTTACTGTCTTAACCTATTTTAGCTTCATTTTCTTCACTTCTCTCTCTGTATATGTATGTTGTACATGCATGTGTGTACATATATTTGTACTTATAACATACATATGATATATATGTATATATACAAATTTTTATCTTTTCTCTAGCAAATCTAATATAGTGCTTAATATATTCCAGGAACTATTTTTTGTTTTATGAGTCAGGGTCTTGCTATGTAGCATAGGCTGGCCTTGAACTTAAGGTCCTCCCGCTGGGATTACAAGTGTGTACTACCACACTCGGTCTAGGAACTATTGCAAATGCATTAAGTTCATGAGTCCTGGTGACAACCCTATAAGGTAGCTGGTGTTGATAGCCTCCATTTTAAAAGGAAGAAGTAGAAGCACCAAGAAGTTGAGCAGCGTGTCTAAGGACACAAAGTAAAGAACTAAACCCAGGCAACCTGGCTCCAGAGTCAGTATCAGCACTGGCCACCTGCAAGGTGATAGTCTAAATACATAACAACCACATCAGCACTGGCACAAACCACTGAGCACTGACATTGACTATGGCACAGGTACAGAGTCTGGAAGGCCCCCTGCTTTGCTGGGAGTACATCCCTTAGTTTCTAGATCATGGGGAGATCTGGGGCTTCCTAGTGGGATGGATGGTGGCATGAACACTTGGGATACATGGCACAGCAAGACTCCATTATAGAACTAGCTAAATAGTTCACCTGTAGGGGTGACTGTACCAGTTGAATATTCACTTTAGTCATTCCTGTCATTCTTATTCACTGGGATTATGAGAGTTAAGGAGCTAATCTCTGTTATTTCATATAATGATGCTTTGTGGTCTTTCAATTTCTCTATCAACTTAATCCAGCTCACAGGATGGTTTGGAAGATGAAATGAACACACCTCCAAGAGGCCTAGTGGGGTGCCTAACCCAAAATGGGCTCTAAATAGGGTTTACTTCTTTGTCCACTTTCCCCTACTTATAACCAGGGCTGCCTGGCCAAGTTTTCTGCCTTGCATAGAAGCTGGGATAAATTAAGGCTGTCAGTTATCTCCTGAGGAGCTATCAGTACTTAGAAGAGAAGAACCCAGTGTGTGTCAGAGTGTCATCCCCCAGACTATCAGGAGCCAGGCACACAACAGATAGGCCAGCAAAAGAAAGGCCAGAGACAGCAGTCTGACATACAAGGAAATCTTTACCGCCCTCAGGCCTGTAGAACCATTCCACCACTGTGGTAGCCTCCACCTCTTCCCTCTTCATGCAGGAGATGCATCGCAGCTTCATGGGGGTGCCCTGGACAGCCTCTGTCTCTGAGGGCACTTCCACACATACAGGGAAGCAGACACTGACTGGAGAAAGGACAAGTGATAGGGAAGGGACAAAAGGCAGTGGGGAGTAGTGCAACCAGAGGGAAGCATTGAGGAACAGGAGGGAAGGAAGAGAGACAGAGAAAGAAGAATCATGAAACAATGTCGAAATTAACCATATCCATGGGTCTGTGCTTTCGTCTGTACTCCCTGAGCATACGTGATCAGAGCAGGTACTGAGTGAGATGGAGGAGATGTGGGTGGTTCTGACATTGACTGAAAGCCTTCTGCTGGAAGCAGCAAAGATGCAGCACAGCATAGACTTGAAGGAAGTCTTCAAGTCTAGTGGGAGACAGGACATGCACCCATCCATCAACTATGCACCCAGTACAGCCTTCAACCACCAGTCACTGAAATCCACTTTATGCCAGATCTGATGCTAGACTAGTGATATAAAGATGAACAAAACATTAACCATGTCCTCAAGGCATTTATAACCTAGCAGGGAACCCATGTTTCTAACCACGATTAAACCAGATGCACGGAGGGTAGCATATTGGTAATGTGTTCTGTTCCCAGAGGGGGCAGTTAGTCACTCATAGTTAGGCTGGGGAGAAAAGAAGAGGCTAGAAAGATAGAAAGGACCATGCTGTGAAGACCTGTATGTTCTTCATAGTGTGAAATATCAAGGGCTCTAAAACCATGCATATCTGTGTTTTAGGAAATGTGTGGGTGATGAGGGAGGATGGAGCAGCAGTGAGGGACACGGTGAGCTGATCACTAGCTGGAACAAGGCTTTATGCAGAGTAGAGACAGACAACATTAAAACTCTGAAGAGGTCAGACAGTGGAACATCTTGCATGCCACATGGAGGTTTGGACTTACACTTCCTGCCCTCTAGAACCTCAAAGTTCATTTAAAGAAGGCAAGTGTACCAAATTTCAAATTCAGAATGAATCAAAACTGGGGCGCAGCTGCCAACAATGAAACAAGTGGGCATGTGGACTGCATTAGCAGATGTACAGTGTGCAGAAGGAAGGAGGAGGAGTTCTTCTCAATGTTCAGAACAAATCTGGACTGACAGGATCAGTTTAGGAAGCCCCATTTCCAAAGGAAGTTGTTCAATGAGTGTGTGCCCACAGATGAACAAGGTGGCGAAGGGCATGCGGACAGAGTCTCATGAGGAACAAACGGGAGGATGCAGGACGCTGAGCTTGGACACAGAATGTACCTATTTTCAAATATTTGAAGGCTGGCAAGAAGAAAATTTCACTTATACCCAACCCTAAAAGTTATTTAAAAATAAGCTTAGTGCAATAAAAATGATTTTTTTTCTTTCTGCTTTTTTTATTCTGTTGTTGTTTTAGACAGGCTCTCACTATTTGATCCAAGGGCTGGCCTCAAATTTATGATCCTCCTGCCTCAGCCTTCCAAGTGCTGGGATTACAGGTGTGTGCCACCATGTCTGGCTGAAAAATGTTTTCTAGCTTTGAAGCTGTTCATAAAATGTGAAAGACTATTTGGTAAGAGAGTTTATACCCAATTGGAAGATTCAAAATTAAAATGATCACCAAGGATTCCCATATCAGGGTTTTGAAGGCCTTTCCAATGCTACCTTCTCATGAATTAATAATAAAAGCAGACCCTGTAAGATAAAAAATGAAGTAACACACAATGACATTGAAAAACTACTGCTCTATAAATGGTCATCCTGCTCATCCACAGGCAGAAATTTATTTTCTAAAAACAGAAGCTTTATGTAGAGCTTAAAAAGAGATTGGCATAAAGTAATTTTAAGTAAAAAGAGTTAATATTGCAGGTGGTGGTGTGACTCAAGAGGAAGAAGACCTGACAAGTAAGCATGAGGCCCTAAGTTCTAACTTCAGTGCCACCAAAAAAGTTAATACTGTATTTGATTGGCTTAGAAATCAACAGATTTCATTTTCATTTGTAAACTTGGAGTTTAAAAACTAGTGGCACTATAATTAACTTCAAGTTTAAAAATCAAAATGAAATAAATTTAATTGGTCTTTAAACAATAAATTGGTCTTTAAGCAAACTGGGGTGGTCTTTTCTGGGGGTCTGCAAAATGGTCTCATCATTTTAATGGGGAGAGGGTTCACATCTAGAGAGAGTTGATTGGAAATACCTTCAGTTTGTGGTGAAACTAAAGCCTTCATTACAGACCTGCTTTTTTTTTTTTTTTTTAAAGAGGTATGGTTTGTGCAAAAGTTTGTGAGTTGACCAAGGGGCAAAATGTATGAAGCAAGAATTCTATGTAGCATAGAGCTTTGACATTCATGCATATTTAATGAGAGGTAGTAAAGACAAATTAGGTCAATGTTGAATGACCTTGGAAGCAGGACAGGAAAAGTCCCAAGGTATGTACACTTATAACTATACAGGATGAGGATGGTTTTGGGTAATTGAAGGACTGGGATTGAATTACTATTTAACCTCCCGGAAACTCAGTTTATTCACTAAAATGCTAACATCTAGTTACATGTTGTTGCAAACATTTATAGATTGATTTATGTGAATGCACTTTGTACAAGTGTCACTTATTAATGTTATTTTATCCTTTTTATATTTGACAAATGCATTGAGTGCTTACTGAGGGGTGCCAAGCATTGTTGTAGGCACAAAGAACCAAACAAAATCATTCCTGTTCTTATGGAGTCTACACAGCAGTGGGGGGAGGATGAAGACAGACTACATTGAGTTGTAATAAGTGCTGTGAGAAAAAAATAAAGCAGAGTAAGGGGGAGAGACAAACAGAAGCTATGTAGCAGCCACTGAAGGTAAGAAATGAGGGGAAGCAAGTTGCAGGGATGCCTGCGTCATGCCAAGCAAGGGAGATAGAAACTCAAGGGCCCAGGCTTCTAAGTGTGTACTTGTTCAAGAGACAGCAAAGAGTCCAGTATGGGAAATACAGCAAACAAAGTGAGAATAGAGGGGATGAAGCAGGTGAGAGAGGCCAGGGTTGATCACAGCTGGTCTCATAAGCTGTGTCTCATAGGCCATGGTTAGAACTTTGGCTCTGGCTGAGAATGACATGGTGAGCACTGAGGGTTCTGAGTGGAAGGATGGCATGATCTGACTTGTGACTAAGTTGCATGACCAGATATTCTCATGATGAGAGTAAACTGGGAAGGTGAAGTTGGGACAAAGTTTGGAGCAGAAAGAACAGTTAAGAGGCCGGTATGGTTGTCAGAGTGGGAGACAATTTTGCTTGGGTAAAGGCGATAGTAGAGTTACTGGAATTTGAGAGAGAATCATTTCCTGGATTAACATTGTTGACTAGGGAAGGGGATGTGCTCTAGTTAGCATGTAGGTGGGTGACAGATAGGAGCACAGTCAGTTCATTTAGAGTTAAAGGAGGAAAGGTGGACTGCATGCAGGCAGGAGGGGAGCTGAGGAATAGCATCAGGTGCAGTTGTCCCACTCTTTACAGTGATAATAGCCCAAGGTATCATCAGAGAGCAAGCCTCGCTGCTTCCCTTCTCCTGGCCACTGGTCCAGTTTCAAGACAAGAGAACTCTGCTCCTGTGGTCCTGGATAGTGCAGTGCAAAATGGTCAAAAGTCCTCCTACCTCATTTGCCTGCCCTCTGCAATATGACTTCCTGCTACTTCAATTAAGAGGTGAAATTTGTTTCTCCATCTTCTGAGTCTCAAGCAAACCACTGCCTTTCTTTCTGTGAAATCCTCTAGACAGCCAAGAAAAGTTATACATATGGTAGTAGCTCCACTCACGTTACTAACTATAAATGATAAACTCCTGAAATATAATTATAATAGGATAGAATAGTTAAGTAATAAACTCTTGGAATAGTGTTAGCAGATGTTTTCACCTTCAGACTCCTCTTCAATTTCCATAATAATAATGAACAAATTTATGAGAAAGAAGAATCTGATGTATTAAATGACGATGATGATATTTAACCAAGAAACCAACTCCTCTGCTACTTCCAAATCTTTCTCTACTTTACCCATTGTCAAATTGCCCCTCCTAAACTTGCTTTAGAATGCTTCCTTTGCAGTAAGATAATAAAGGCTTTAATTAGAATGTAAATAATTTCCATAAGGCATCATAAATTATTTTGAAATGTTAACATTCTGCAATGATTTGGGCTATCAAATTAGCCCGTTACTTAAAAGAGCCTTGGAGGAATGAGTTCTAGGAAAGGATTCTCGGAAGAGAGGAAAAATTCCAAAACACAGGTGACCTGTGGGAGAATAAGAAAATAAAAGCAGAGATGGCACTAGGAGCTCAAGGATGGGTGGGATCCTCAGACAGGTGATGGCTTGGGGGAGCTCAGAAGAGAAATGTGAGGAAAGGGGTCTACCTGGCAATTGCACACAAGCAGTCCAGGTGTCCACTGATGTGCTAGAAGGAGCTCTTAAAGGCTGAAATCAGAAGATAAGCAATAAGCATTCTCTAGCAAGTCTTTCCCCTTGTGAGCTCATGTTCTCATCTCTAACCTGGAATGAACACTCCTTCACCTCACTCCCCCAGAGGATTGATATGGGGAACAAAAGTAATGGATTGAAAATTCCTTTGTAAACTGTGAAGCATCAGGCAAGTGTAGGTCTTAAAATGATTATTATATGATTTAATAAAATAGAAAAATCACACTTCTTTCAGCACATGCAGAAAGTAAACAGAAAATTCTTTCTATTCATTTGGGACATCATGTGAAAAAAATCAGCTTAAAAAAAGAGAAAACATTTCATCTAAGTATTTTCCAATATTAGAATTAGATGCAAGTAAAGTGAAACTGCATTTGCAAAGGAGACTCTTCTTCTTACATTTAGCAACCAGGCATCCTGAACCCCTTCTCTTTCTCTTCTGCAGCTTTTTAGTTTGGGGAGCCAATGTTCAGATGATGAAAAAGCTGAGAATGAGCAAGGATGGATATAATGGGTACAGTTTTTCCAAAGCTTTTTATGGGGGTGAGGGAAAGACACTCTGCCAATTCTAACAATAGTCTATAAATATTTCCCTATTGTTTGGTTGTGAAGCTGAAAGGAATGTTAGCTATGTTAGATATTATATCTGCCACATTTTACATACAAGGAACAGTAAGATAAAAGCAAAGTGACACTCCAACCTATACTTTGCAAGTCTTAGTTAAAAAATTTTTGAATTATAGTATGCTCTTTTCCTCAACTGGAATTCAGGCAGCAACCCTAAAAAATTAGAGTTTGGAAAGAAAGCCTCTCCAGACCTCACCTACCCCTTCTCTACAACTTCAGCTGTACCCACACTCTTTTTTTTTTTTACCTTTCTATGATTAAATTCTGGGGAATGGCTCTCCAGTCTTTTTTTTTTTTTATTCATATGTGCATACAAGGCTTGGGTCATTTCTCCCCCCTGCCCTCACCCCCTCCCTTACCACCCACTCCGCCCCCTCCCTCTCCCCTCCAACCCCTCAATACCCAGCAGAAACTATTCTGCCCTTATTTCTAATTTTGTTGTAGAGAGAGTATAAGCAATAATAGGAAGGAACAAGGGTTTTTGCTGGTTGAGATAAGGATAGTTATACAGGGAGTTGACTCACATTAATTTCCTGTGCGTGTGTGTTACCTTCTAAGTTAATTCTTCTTGCTCTAACCTTTTCTCTAGTTCCTGCTCCCCTTTTCCTATTGGCCTCAGTTGCTTTTAAGGTATCTGCTTTAGTTTGTCTGCGTTAAGGGCAACAAATGCTAGCTAATTTTTTAGGTGTCTTACCTATCCTCACCCCTCCCTTGTGTGCTCTTGCTTTCATCATGTGCTCAAAGTCCAATCCCATTGTTGTGTTTGCCCTTGAAGAAGAATGAAATGTTATCATTCGCTGGTAAATGGATGGAATTGGAAAACATCATTCTGAGTGAGGTTAGCCTGGCCCAAATGTACCCACACTCTTGTTCTTCCAGACTAACCTCACCTGAGCCTCGTATCCTTAGCATTTCCCTGGAGCAAATCTCAGCTTTAATCTTCAAGGCAGGTGAGCTCACTGGTAACCTATTATGTCTGCTTCATCTCCAAGTCTGGTGTATTCTTTTGGGGATGTATGGCAGGGAGGCTGCCCTTGGGGCTAGCATTATTTTTCCTCCACCTCCTTCCTTAGTCATCAGGCATTTTGTTCAACAGGAAGCTTGGCTCTGCCTCTGGTCGCATGCAAAATCTAGATAATGCTGGCAGCTAGAATTAGTCCCTGAGGCTTGACAAAGTGATCCTAAGGTAAAGAGGTGATTCTCATCAGCATGTCTGCCACCACACAGGCAGAATGAATTTCATGCCAACCACAGGAGCATAATCCCACATGCCTCAGTCAGGAAGTGAGTGCAATTCAATTATCTTTTTTTTTTTTTTTTTTTGTTTTAGCATGAAGAAAGGCAGCTAAGATCATGGAAAGCAGTTTATCAGTTGAAGAGAACATATAGTTGATCTAAGGTTCTGGTCAGAGATAACAGGACAGACATATACTACTCATCAATTTATTAAATGATGTCCAACAAACATGCTCATACACATACTAGTGTGCACACTGACATGGAGACAGACAACACACAGTGAAACACTTGTCTCTATCACGTATTCAGACATCATCATGCTTATTCCCTTTGCATAATTTGGGTACCCCACTCCAAGCCCATCCCTTACTGTCACAAGTGTAGGAGTCCCCCTTATTTGAAGGGGGAAGGTCATCTTATCTTGGTCTCTTACAGCTAACAAGTAAGAGCCTATTCATGCAGGAAGGCAAAAAACCAGGCTCCCCAAACACCAAAACATCTTGGCTCTACGTTCAAGTTCACATTAAAAAAAAAAAAAGATTCATTTCCCAGTTGGCTATTTATCTAATACATAACAGCAAATGTTGAAGCTTGCATTTTTCCATTCCTTAGTAAAATTAAGCAGATGGATCAACAAAATATTTTCACTCTCAAAATCCATGCATCCCAGCTTTTGTGCTTTTATTATTATTTTTTTAATACAGAAAAACCAATCTGAAGACCCATTGAGCTTTCCAGGAGCATTCACTCTTCATTGAGAAATGAAATGTAACTGCAAGTGAGATTTCTTATGATAGTGACCACATTCCCTTTAAGCAAAGGGAAAACAAAACACTTAAGAATGATCAGGAAAGGAGGAGGGCTGGAGAACCACCGAAGAAGGCTGGGGAATAAAGCTGCCGGTAGTGGGAAGGCGCCTATCAAGTCTCAAAATCCCAGCTCTCATGGAACCCATTTGGATCGCCATGTCTGGCAGACATGGCACGGAGGGAAGCCAAACAGGGCTCCTTTTTGTCACGGACATCAATAAGTGTTATTATTATTAGCATGATTGCAGTCATCTGCATCTCGCATGGCAGGGTGCCGGTACTTACCCCAGTAGATGAGCACAAGAGAAAGCAGGGGAAGCAATCTGTTGAAGGCAGGCATCTTTTTCAGCGGTGGTTTCCAGTGCTAAACAGAGAGATTCCCTCAGTCAAGGACTGCGCCCTCACACATTCTTTCGAGGAAACCCTTTGGGAGAAACTGCCCCAAGGGGGCGACTTTCGGACTGAAAGAAGGCCCAAGCTCCCTGCGTGGGGAGGCTCTGCGGGCGTTTTGAACAGGGTGGGTGGTGGGGTCCCACTCCGAGTCAAGCCAGCAGAGCTCCCCAAATCGAAGGAGCGGATGCGCAGCTCTGCACTCGCTCCCTGGCACGGATTGCTGGGATCCGGCTCAGCACCACGGACAGTAACGTCCCGCCCACCCCCAAGCTTCAAATTCCAGTAGCTCCCCTGCCGCTCGAGTTTGTGCCCAGGGCAAGCTCAGCTCAGCCCGGAAGGGAGTCGCGCGGCTATTCCTAGGAGGTTGGGCTGTCGAAGGGGGTCCATGGCGATTCACCTCTCGCCTCTCCTAGGGACAGCTACGCTCCGAGCAGATCCACCGAGACTCGGGAGCTCGGGCTGCTCCCGCGCCAATGGGTTTCTCCAGCTGGGCGTGTCCCCACACCCAAAGCCACCTAGGCCGCCTGTCCAGGTTACAGAATTCGTTCCACGTCGTCCCCTACACCCAGGCCTAGGCTCCCCGCGAGGTCGGGAAGGGCGGAGAAAGAAGCGGAAGCTGCCGCGGGGCTGGCGATCTCAGAGATGGAGGGTGGGTATAGAGAGGGGGCGCCCCTTTCCCTGGAGCGCGCCCCTGGATCTTGCAGGGCTCCGACTCCGGGTGGCCTGGAGGTCAGCTGCCCCTCTCCAGACTCCAAACATTGACATGCGCAGGCGACTCTCCGCCCCACCGCCACCATGGACCCTCCCCCTTGGACACACACTCCCCACCCCCAAGCAGGCGTGGCCCTTCCAGGGCTGAGCACGCCGCGGGAGGCGCAGAGCCCAGCGCAGCCAAACACCTCCTGCCGGGGAGGTTTCTCTGCTCTCTGGCTGTCTCTCTCTGGGTCTCCCGCCAGTGTCTCCACACCTCACCCCTGCACCGGCGCACCAGCTCCCACAAACTCCCAACCTCCAGGGAACCCCACTGCTCTCTTCGCACAAGCATGCTTGCCTTCAGCTCCGGGAAGAGGAGGGCCAAATCTCTTTCAAGCAATGATGTCATCTGTAATGTTCACAGTACATGACTCCGGGCTTCTTCTCCCCGCCCTCCCCACCTTCCTCGTCCCCTCGCGCTCTCCAGGTCTCCCTGTCCAGCCTTTGTCTAGCCTTGATTAATTGGTTCCCAACACAAGGAACGCAGTAAGATAATCCGTGCTTAGGACAAGTAGGGTAGGGGTGAGGAGCACCTGTTCCCATGTTCACCTCCTCTCTCAGAAAGATGATCCAAATGTCAGCGCAAGAGAAGCGACGGTGCCGGGCGCAAAAAGCGGGGCGGGGGGCGGGGACACTACTCTTTCTTTCCCAGGTTCTTTGTACTCCTCCCTATTGCTCCAACCATTTTTTAAAAAGCAGATAGATCGTGGTCTGGCGTCTTCCAACTATTAGCCACTCCCTAGTCCTAGCAGCTGCTTGAATGTCCCCGCCCTATTTCTGGAAAGGAAACCTGAACCTTTACACAGTTATAAACTCAAGTTGACATAACAGATTAGGAATGCCTGGAGCTGAAGTGAAAGATTGGTACAAAAGCCTGCCCCCAGCCGCCCTCTTCTTATCCTCTCCCGCTCTCTTGCCAAAAGGGGGAGCTTAACTCTGATGTTCCAAAAGGGAACGCAGAGTAACAGCTGACTGTAAGTGAACCATACACGTACAGGAAATGCCCCCTCCTAACATCACACAGAGCAACAGTCGGTCCCCAGTCAGGTCTTTTTCCTGGGCAGGAGCCAACCCGCCATAAACTCTTATGTTGTTTTCGTGGACAGCCCTTGAAGCACTGTATTAGACTTGGATGGGACGTTAAAGCGGTCTTAATGGAGCACCCTTTCCAATCCATGAATCCCTGCAGGAGCACTTCTGATAAACAGGCTTGATCTTTTTTGTTGTGAGACCTTACTACTTCACTAATTTTTAAAGAAGGTTGTTTGTTAAATCGGTTGAATTCTGTACAACTTGGTCCTCAAGCTTTTATTCTCTGGCTACTGTTTTCCCTTCAAACGAGCTATGCTTCCTTCCTCTATACCACCCACACAAAAAATCTTCATTTGAGTCTAAGCTTCCTTATTTTCTTCCGGTGCACTGTATTTCCTAGAAGTTTCCGAACTTAGGCCACAATGGCCACTTTCCCAGGAGGTTTTTGGATTTATCACCATGATTCCAAGTGACATCAAGAATAGAAGGCGGGGGAGGTGGCCAGGAAAGGGTGTAGAAGAGTGAATACTGTGCAAATACTCTGTACACATGTATGCAAATTCAAAAACTATTCCAGGAGTTGGGGGGAGAGGGGATAGAGGGGAGCATTGGAGGGGGTTAATTCAAATAGATATATTTGATACATTGTAAGAACTTTTGTAAATGCCTCAAAGTACCAGCACAACAATAAAAAAAATGGAAAAAAAGAATAGAATGCTCTCTGCGAGGTCCAATCAGCAGAAATCCACTGGAATTAACGACTATGCTTACTTTAGAGGGTATATCCAAATGCATTTGTTTGTGTTTTTCTTTTTTATTAGTGTTGTACTGGGAGTACATTTTCAGAAGTTCTTACCATATGTCATAGTTGGATTCATCCCCTCCATCACTCTCCTTTATCCTCCCTCTCCCCCATTCCTGGAAGTTTCAGCAGATCTCATTTGTCCATTTATATACATGTGTACATAATATTTTCACCATAGTCTCCCTCTTATACCCTTTCCTTAAATCTTCCCCGCTCCCACTGGTACCAGTCCCCCAGACAGGACCTATTTTTGCCTTCCTGTTCCTGTTTTTGAAAAAAAAAAAAAAGACATTTTTGTTTAAGATAGCTAAACAGGTTGCTTCATTGTGACATTTCCAGGTATATATGCATTGTAACCCAAGTTGGTTTATCCCCTCTATTTTTTTCCTTTCTACCTTATTCCCCTTCTTATGTTGATTTCAGCCAGTTTAAAAATTTTATATTCATTCATGTATGGAAAGCACATCAACCATATTCACCTTCTCCCTTCTATTACCCTCTCTCTCTCTCCACATACATTTGAACCACATCTCAGTCATCATGACCTTATGTTCAACTAAAGTCCCAAAGTATTTTCACTTGACATGTTGCAGAATCATTTTGTGCTTATGCAGGGAGTTTTGGAAATTTTATTATGAGACTTTGAACTTACTGTTTTTAGAATTTATTAGTTTCAGCCAACAATCTGTTATATTTTTACTGAATTCTGATTCAATCACCTGATGTATCTCTCTTTAGCTTCATGTCATATCTAAGCTTGACAATCATTTGATATACACATAGAGCTTTTTTTCAAAACAATGAATCTGGGGGAAAAAAAAGAGAAAGTCTTCTGGCATGCTCCTAAAACTTCACTCTATCTTGGCAATGAACTATTAATTAAATTTCTTTCCTACAGTTTCTCCATCTTAGGCAAATACCCAAACATATCTTCCTATTTTCCATATGTATACCATAATGCATTTTGAAAATTTAGAAAAAATGCAAATGTAAGAGGAATTTGATTATAATAATCCATAAGAAAGAAGTAGGATCAATATCTCACATTTAAATAGAAACTAATTTTCAGCAATACATCTCAAATCATTCCAAAAAGGAATAATTATTTTCTTGTGATGCTCAACAATTGTTATCCAAACAATTACAGGGACATTTAAGAAAAAATCTTTTATAGACTAGACGTTTGAGATAGATTACAATAAAGTTCCTATCATCTTTGAGATTTTATAATTTTATTGAAAGTCTTACCAAGATTGGGATACATATAGTGACTGAGATATTTTCAATCCAGTAAGTCTACCAACCATCAGCACAACTAGCATAGTAGGCTTAGCTTAGCTTCACAAAATTTTATGTCTATTGGTAAGTCCTAATATTTGTAATGTTCTTTTCTAACTATTTACCAACCTCATTTGAAGTGGTCACTTGGAGGATTTTTGAGGTTTTAGGAAAAATGTACTCGCCCTTAATTTCCATAGGCTGAGTCCCATGTTCTTGTCTCAGTTGAAAATAGGAGTGTTTGGTCTCTTCATTCTTCTGCTGATTTTTCTTGATTTCTAGCAGTGACTTTCAGTCAACTTTGCAAGTACCTTAAGTTCCCTGAGGTATATTTGGCCTTGTTCTGAAAGTTTTCAACTCATCTAAAATGGTTAAGTTGAAGATATACCTCAGGGTAGAGTACTTGCCTAGCATGCACAAGGCCTTGGTTAGACTCTCAGAACTACAAAACAAACCAAAGACAAAAAAACCCCACTGAGCTCAAATAGTTATGTTATCCCTTCCTCTCTGCTGCTGTCTTTGTTTTGATCCTCTCTTGCTGATGTTTGCTTGGCTTTTCCAATTTAATAATCATCCTCTCCTTACAGTTAATGGGTGAAACTACACAATCTATGTTTTAAACAGTTCACACAGCAATCCTTTTATTCTTTAAGGTCACGTACAGTGTCCTTGGTGGATTGGTTTCAGGAAAATCTGTGGATGCTCAAGTCCCTTATATAAAATGTACTTGGATATATTCTATGTATATCCTCCCATATACTTTAAGTCATCTTTAGGTTACAATACCTAATAAAATCTATGGGAATCATTGTCTGGGAAATAATAACAAGAAAAAAGTCTATACACATGCAATACAGGCACATTCTTTTTTCCCTGATATTTTTGATCCATGACTGGTGGAATCCAGAACCTGGCCTGTACTTCTCTTTCTTAAAGCTCCTCCATGACATTTTACTGCAGGTAGGTAAAAATCTCAAATCTTCCCCATGTCCTATCAAGGCTGGCCCTAAGTCATGGCTATTCCTCTACACATGTCTACCATTTTATGTCTTGTCTACAACGTTCCAGCTCTACTTATGTTTTAAAAATGGACCTGAAACTCATATAGCTTTCCCCCACTGTTATTATTACAGCCTTTGTACGTGTTCTCTCCTGTACCTGGAATCCTTCTCATCCTTATGGCTGCTTTCTTGTCACCTCAGTCTTACCTGAAATGGCCTCACCTTAGAGTGGCACTCCTTGGTGTCTCCTCCTAAACTACTCCTTCACCTGAAGCTACTGTACTAGTCAGACTTTGTGTCATGATGAAAAATACCTGAGATACACAACTTAATGGAAGAAATTATTTATTTTAGTTCACGATTTTAGAGATTTCAGTTCATCATGGTGGGAAGGGTATGGCAAAACAGAGCTATTCAACTCATGGCAGTCTGGAAGCAGAGAAAAACAGTACTAGGAAGGGAACAGGGCAAGAAACAATACCCAATAGCATGTCCCCAATGACTTACTTCCTCCTTCTAGGCCCCATCTTCCACAATTCCACCATCTCTCAATAGTCTATACACATTTTGAATCCATCAATGGATTAATCCATTCATTACGACAGAGTCTCATTGTCTCTGGAATCATTGTCACAGATACACCCAGAGGTGCATTTTATTAATTTCCTAGACATTGCTCAGTCTAATCAAGTTGACAGTCAAAATTAACCATCACAAGCTACTCTATCTCATTATTTGTTTCTTGTTTTTCATATCTTCTCTCATTATCCCAAACTATCTTATTTTAAATTTATGTACTTGCTTATTCATCAGAATGGTCCCCCTCCATGAAAGCAGCCTTATTTTTTCTGTTTGCTGCTGGGTTCTTGTGCTTAGATTGGTGCCAGGCAGGTACTAGGTCCTCTTCAAAGAGGACTCAGGCCAAGAAATGAATGAATGGACGAGGGAGTAAGAGTAGTGCGGAAAGAGTGAAGGGCTGAAGCCAAAATCAATATAAGAAATAGAAAAATAATTTGTCAGAGAAACAGAAGATCTAGCAAGATATAGTGCCACAGTGGCCAAGGAAAAAGACAGCCTCTAGACCCAAGGGACACTTTTCCTTGGAAGGGACTCCAGCTAGCCATGCTCAGAGACTAAAGAAGAGGATAATCCAGAGCCTGAGTTTTTCAGAGGTGTTGAGGTGGAGGGGGCAAAATGATTCTGATGAAGGATGCATGGCATCTGAGATATTCAGGGAGAGGCTAGTTTTCCTAGAGACAGCAGTAGTGGCAGTGATAATATGGACAAAGAATGGGACCTTAAGGCTCACATATTGATCTTGGTAGAACAGGAAGCCATATCAGCTATCCCTAGAGTTTGGTGGTGGGGAGGCATAGGAGTAGGGAGATGGTCTGAATCACTAGGACCCCACCTTAAAGCATAGAAGAATGTCAAGAGGAGGTTCACCATCAGTATGTACCTGAACTGAGAGTCACAATGCAAGAATCAAGGCCCAACCTAGGTAAATCCAGTGACCTACTTTTGCTATTCTATGTAGACTTTGAAAAAATAGCACATACCCCAGGGAGTAAGGAGAGGGAAGAAAAATGTTTTTCTTAAACTGTGGCCAAAGAGCACATATGGAACTGAGAGATATCAAGCTCCCCCAAATCATTCCCTCTTCCTGCCTGCCGGCCAGCT